CAGCCAGGTTCTTTGCATTCATCGGGAAATCCGTTTAAGAATGTGTCTAGAGGTGTTCGTGTTGAAGCGCTAACCTCCTTTCTGTAGATTACCTGATCAGGTGAAATACATATGGCTGAGTCCCCTAACAATGTTCAACCAATCAACTACACCTGCGCAGCTGACTTACGGTTTGTCTTCTTTTGAAATCTACTTGTCACTCGTGTAGCTGATCAATAAATGCGGCAGTGTTTCTGGAAACGAATGACATTTTTACGCACTTGTATAGGGCCTATGCCATATCTTGTAAATATTTCTGTTTTTCAAACGTTTTTGTGTTGCCTTCGATCTTTGCTCACCCCAGTTAATTGATTCTATATGACCAAAACGATACTTAGTATATTTAGCGCCACAATTCGCGCTTTATCTTGAACAGCAAGTTAACCACCCACCTCAAAATGTGTGTACTTGTACTACGTTTCCCAGCGTCCCTAGCCAAATTTTCGCGGGTCATCCTTCTCAACTATGTCAACTGAATACTTTAACGTTGTCATGGGTTTTTCCTCTATCCAGCTTGCATAACATTTTGGTGGCTGAGATCAAGCTGGTATAACTTGTAACCACGCGCCTCATTGAAGCTTTATGCAGCACTTATTTGAGAGAACGAAGGGAAAGTGTCACCGATTCGCGGCATCTACCAGATTACCACAGTTTAATTTGAAACCCTACACTGCTGCAATCGTAGGATTTTGGCATTTTACACGACTGCCTGTTTGCACCAGAAGTTCGACATAAAATCGGATAGAGCATATCTCTAGCGACAGGACACTTAGATCAAATGAGGACTTACAACTAATTTGCAGGGTCTCTAGAGCAGCTGGTCCGATGCCACGTGTAAAAACTATCCGCCAAGCGGCTGCTGAGGTCTCGTCAGGCCAGACACCTGACTTACGAAAACTCAGTTTACTGTAAAGATCCTCATGCGCCTTAGCTGCACTTTCCACCGTAGTACTTTCGAATTTCGGTTGTCTCCCGTTTCATATATCACACATTTATATATAGTCCCTCTGTCCACGTGAGCTTTTGTCAAACGCTATAGGTTTACTGATACACTTCACTCCTAAGGATTAAAAGCAATTTTATGATTTGATCGCCCTTTACCTCGAGAGCCCTTGTTCACATCTTTGTTCAGATCACTTCCACTATCAGCAACATACAGCAGCTTTCTTGCTCGCAAAGGCGGGCAAGTTTTAGTGCAAAAGTTCGGACAATTGATCGTCCTCTTGCACAAATTCTTCGGACATCATGAGCCAGTGTGCAAAACGGTAACGGAAACAGGTAGGCTGAATGTGTCACCCATCTGTACCACACTATCCGACACAAATTCGAGAGACGAGAACCATGAAGCTGCTTATGAACATGGATTTGAAGAAATGACACTTGCCTTTGGTAGAGTTGGTGAAGAGGTTGGATGCGTGGAAATTACCGGAATCGTTTTGAGGACAGTAAATTGAGTGTAGTGGACAGAAGACTACCAGTCACGCCCTGGGCTACCAACACCTCTGTCATTGAAATGTCTTCCTAAACTATTGCTCAAAGACGTCTAAATCCGAAAGACACTGGAGATGAACGCATTCTGCTAGATCTATCTCTGATTCTAGCAGAAATCTGCTATTTTAAGACAGCTGTACACGTAAGGTCTAATGCATCCAAAATGAGATTATCCGTTCCGTCCAGTTTTTAGATCCTTTTAATCTAGTCACACAACAGCTATGCGTGTTAGGATATATATTACACTTTCTTATAACTGACCAAAAGCCATAACGCGCGCATTTTTTCTCATGAGTCCAGTGATTGGCAGACAGATAACCTACCTCAGTTTACTGGACTAAAAGTAGGGATAAATTCATGGCAAACGTAAACATATGCCTTGATTTTGTAATTCAAATGGATATAATTTTCAACCTTTCCTCTCGTGTTTTACAAGCTTCTTCATAAAATTCCTATGTAACAGCTCTAAATCATTTTAACGAATGTGCCACAGTGGCTGTCACTATTCAAAGGTAAACAATTTGGTGCCAGCAGTCATTTGGTTTGGCTCCATCTTTCTCGGCATTCACCTACGTTTTCCCAAGGGATTTCTTAAGCTGATGAACCTATTCAGAAGCCGAGCGGAGTGCTTTCCTAAGGAAAACACTTCACGATCCCTTCTTTTGCTCTATAGGATTTGGTTGATTGTTGCTAGCAAATTGGTTTGAGCAGTGAACTTTTTCGTTATTGGTCATTTGTCGGATTCAGTTGGATCACAAAAGTTGTCTGCTTGTTGTGTACTCACCGTAACAAGTGCATAATGAAAATACGGTGAAACTGTGCTTTGTTGAGACTAGGTGGACTTCAGCTAAAACGCTTTTGAAGCAAAAAGGCTGGAATACTGTCAAGGGAGGTTGATTTATCAGTTCAATAAAAGAGACTGTAGATTAATAATAATAACATAAGTAATAAGACCATCGCACATCACGAAGTCGGCTGTGCGTAAATGCCTTGAAAACATCGCCAGAGTGGTATAGCTCAATCCGTGCTTTGAACGCAACGCTAACTTACGCCACGACGTTTAAAAATTACTTCAACTCACTTGAACTGTGAGGAAGTGTGCCACTGCATGTATACTATCATCCGACCATATAGGAAGTGGTTTCGATGACCACTGAGCCCTTCGACTTTTGAGTGCCCTCGCAAACAAATTTAACTAATGTTATATACCATCTAGCACTCCCTGAACTGTTTCACACACATGATCGGATACTTTCAATCCACTTATCGGTTTCGACTGTGTAACAAAAGCACAAAAGCAACGCGAAACATCATAACAATCCACAGAATAACAGCGCCTTGATGTACAATCCAACAGCAACATCAAATATGATTATGGTGTTAAATCAGACGTAGGTTTGTTAAAGTAAGCGCACTTGCTGATACCACACTTCAAAATAGATGACTTCCATCATGTACCTGTGTTATTGCATCCTTGTCACTAGGTAGGCCTGTTTTAGCGGAATAGTTTGAGTGGGCGCAATCGAATCCTTACCATGCCACTGGAGTTAACTGAGATTCATGTTTCGGAAACTATCCCAGTTGCTTCTTTTCTATTCTAGAAAACTGCGTGCAACAGGGCTTGCCCAACAACTACTGACAATGACCAACGTCATTCTTTCCTGTAATTATCCGACTGTTTGGCTGCTGCAAATCTATCGAACCACGTAGAGTGAACGACCATGAGATTGTGTACTGCCTTGCCATTTAATGACGAATGAGGTGCTCGGTAATTTAATTTAGCGGTAGAATATTAGCATAATAGCTGTGAGGATATTTGCTGAATGAAGGGAAGTATCAGGCAATGTAAAGACAAACGTAATAAGCATCTGTAGATGGAACCTACCGAAAACCGGATACCCTAGAATGGATTTTGAGAGGCTCGTCGTAAATGGTGCCTCCAGTATGGTTTGACCTAGCGTAAAATGTGTACCCATTAGCTTCCTTTATTTCATTTTTTCTTCAGAAGTGTAAAGATTTCACGACTATCCTGCACCCTTGCAGGTTGGAAACGACTCATAAATGGGGCAGTGTTATCGAGAATTCCCATCTCCTGATATAGGAGCAACAAAAGTTGAGTATTTAGAAGACTGAAACTCTGTCATTTGTGTTATCCTCTCCTGAAAATCAATGTCATAACTGAAGTTCCCATAAGCGCTACCTTTTATGCGGTGTATAACTGTTTACATCTGGCTTCTGATTCTTTTCAAAATGAATGACTAGCGACGTTCTTTGCATTTAATTGTCATGCTGCAATACGAGATGCAAGCAAGCATCGCAGTAATGGACTGCTTTACTATAGAAATATGTGATACTTTGTAAAAATGCAAGAAACGGTTCGCCGTACTATAAAAGTGTCCAACATAATGATTTATGTAAGAACGACCATTCAAACGGCTACCTGAACAGTGGACCATGAGCAGCAAGCAGACATAGACCGCGGGAAGAGTCACATGGTGTCTGGTTAAATCACTCATTCCCACGTCGTTCAGGCTGTCAAGCATTTTGTGGCATCGCATAAATATTGACATTGTTCGAGGATCATATTTCAGGAAGGACCAAGCGGGAAGAATAATATAACATTTTGCAAGGCAGCCGAGGAATACCATGCACTATGCAAAAATGTGTTCGTGAGTTAGGTACATCTGGTTGCTACTCAAACCGGGAATTTTGGGCTTTTCCTTAGGTAGGACCACTCAGACGGGACTCCAACGCTGTTTTGGAGAGAAATAAACATTATACTATCAATAGTGTAGAAATCGTGACCAAACAAGACACCAGTTGTTTGTGCAAAGGTGCGATTAAAAAAACTAGTGTATCAGATGAAGAACAACTTAATGTTGCACATGACTCCATCGGTGATTTAGGAACAGACTAACAAGAACAGATATTGATGTTCCAGCTTGCATGAACTGTGTTCATAAACTCGTTCGAAGGTTGTCCTTGGCTAAAAGTATTGACGGGGCTGCCTCAAGGTTGGCCAAAATATGTGCGCCTAACACCGACCTGGTGTCACCACAATTCTGGCATAAAGTTTAGAGCGGATGGCACTAAGCTCCCTGCATTCAGCTCGAGGTCAGCAAGAGTACAGGAGTTGATAAAATTCCATTATGATTTGTTTTGAACAAATATCTCATCCAACGTTTGAAGGTTTTGAAAAGTGACCTGAAAAATTTTGAAATCAATAAATGAATTCGTTGATGGATTGGTAAGTTAGGTGATTTCGTTTTTCAAGGGAACGGAAGACAAATGAAGCTCTATACTATTCTGGGTAGTTTTTCAGTCTGTACAGACTTTGGAGCTAGATTTACGGAATTTCTTATCATAGTCAAACACCCTTAAACACCGGTGGACGTAGCCAGTCAGACAAGCGTGCTAAAATATATCCGTGTGATCAGCTGACAAGGCAAAAGCAGGTGTGGCCTACTTCAATGGAGAAATTAACATTTCAGGCTCATCCAATTCTGAACCCATTTCGAGCCACCTTAATCAACGTAAAAGTCACTTTATTGGCATGCAGTTTTCGTGTAGTCAGATTCGGTCAACTTATTTTGTTATTCACAGTAAACCCCGACCGATTACCGCTTTCGCTTCCAAACCGTGCCAACCTGGCTCCGTGTACCCCTCAGAATTTGGCCTCTTCAACATCTGGTGCCAGAACTCAACCGGGTGCATTTGTGTGCCCAGAAAACTACACATGCAAGGGACACTGGGAAGGTCCGAATTACGGGATCACTAGTTTTGACAACATAGGCTTTGCTATGCTCACAGTCTTCCAATGTATTACCATGGAGGGTTGGACGGATATTTTGTATCACGTAAGTCCATTTGTTGTAACACTCCCTCCCGGTTGTTTTGATTATATTACAGTAGAGGTTGTTCATTACGTCCGGGTCTTCAAAATCAACAACAGACTAGTGGTTCAGCTGGGCAGGTAGTGCTTTTTGTAGATATTTTGCTAGCTTGTATGCGTCCACACGAATCCGTCTGGCAATTCAGCACTTCGGCTTCTTCGCCAGTCGAGGAAACAACTCAGGCTATTGATATGCTACGGTTGGGTCAGAAGTGCAAGGGCGCCCAACCATGATCCACAAAACTAGTAGCTCAGTATGCTATTTTCCCGATCGAAAGGGTTTACTTGTTATGTACCAGCTTTGAGAAGTCGTCAAGCTTGGTGGACGAATGAATTATCATTTTCACAGACTGTGTCACCAATGTTTCTTCCCATATCAAGTTTTTTTAATAATGTAGACGAATTAATCCCAGATTCAAGCCAATTAATAAGTAGGCTTGATTAAATTAAAATTCTCTACCTAATTCTCTAATCTTGTTTCAGCATATGTTAGAATCGAGCTTTCAAACGCAATACGTAAAATGCATTAATGAGATTTGTTTTGTAACAAAACGTATTCAGGCGAACCCGTACGCTTACCCTGTAGCCTAGGACAGAGCATTTTCGAAGGTTCATAACTGTGGCTAAACTCGCAAATGCTGATCAACTTCTGCGTCAATTCCTCTTATTCTCTTACCAAGGAGAAAAAACAACTCAACATAAGTAGCAGTTACAGGAATTTAAATGAAGTCTAAGTCATCATCTTTGGAATTCCTCTCGGGAAAAAAAGCTATTGGATTTTATTAAATGGTGAGTGGTATAACGTCATACCGTAAGACAGTTTAAGTCGGAGGTAAATACTAACATAACAATAAAGACATTTATCAGACAGCGCACCAGCATCATACGTGGGAGGATTAGCTAGTCAAAAGTTGGGAATTCGTAAAGTATACTCATCTGTGACTTACTTTGCCTTTAATGGGTGTCTGATCGCAATCTACCTGAATTCCTCGTTTATTATGTTCCTCAGCTGAATATGCCGCACAAAAGCTGTGGATGGTAGTGTTGTGGATGGTAGGATGTTCGGAGTATGAGGATATCAATTAAAAGTTTGCTTTTTGGTCTGTCCATAGAAAATTACTCTCCATTCTCTGATCTATACAAAAAGTTTACATTCCATTGTACACTCCTTCACTGCTGCAACCCAATTGACTGAGATAGGCTGATTGTGTTGGCAGACTTGAATTTTAGTAGGCCAAGTAAAATAAAGTGCGACAACTTTTTTCAACTCACTGTTTAGTCCTTGGTGGAGCCTTCTGGGAAGTGTACCTCAAGATGATATTTGACAGAGACTAGCAGTAGGACAAGAAAATCCATAAAGGTAAACATTAACATTCGAAAGACATTGAGAAGCGACAAGATACAGGCACATACCCTTGGAATGTGACCGCCATTTACCGATAAGTTTGAAGGACACTGGGAAAATAAAAAAAACGTCAAGGTAACGGGTCACACATCAACCATAGCACAAAGGTAACAAAGGGTACCACTAATAATCGTTGCGGGACCCTGTCACTGACGTTCAATCGTTACACCGGAAAAATTAATGCCAAAATCTTTGTATGTATCAGACGAGTTTTTGACGGCTAGTGGGAGGCTGGGATAATAGTTCCTTTGATATTCAGGTATCGTACGTATCTCGTTTTCCGCCGTATATGGTAGTTCACTGAGGGATGTGAAAGGGAGACTTTGTATCACAAACTCCACTGTAATTGGTAAAGGTAGATTGTGCTTTTGCAAAAAACTTCAGAAACCTAACCACTGCATTAGAATGACCTTTCTGTAAGGGGAAATTTGTGGCAGGCAAAATATTTAAGTTAATAACGGGAAACATTTAGTTTTACCTTGAAGCACACTGAACTTCTTAAACAGCGAAACTTTGGTGATTACAAATTATGAGAATGGTTCACAACATGGAGAATTTTTACGCTTTTTACAGTCTCAAAGTAATCAGTCCAGGGTACTCTTGTTTACTTACTACCAACAAAGTAAGTTATCCTTCTGAGTGGCCTGATACTGTGGACGTTTTATGCTTTAGGCGGCCCCTAGAAAATGAGCAACTTATCAATGGCCTGTAAGTGCTACGGCAACAATAAAGGCACTAATGTTTCAAAAAGTGTTCTGAACCTCTCAGAATAGGTGGTAACTTGGTTCACATGTGGTTAGGTATAAAATACCTGGCTTCGGAATGCATGTTTTTGGGTTAAGTGACAAACTATCAACCCAATGGTACGGAATGCGAAGTAAATCTGAATAAATATGACATTGAATCACTGTGGTGGAGTTCCACATTTGCTTATGTCACAGCCAACGACTTCGTGACTTCTTATGGACAGACCGATTAAGAGTCTTGTGAGCCATAAGATGTTCCCCAAAATAGGCTGCAATAAGTGTACAACAGCCCAGCTGCGGTAATTTATCACCCTGATCTAAGACAAGAAAAACAATATTGAGATACTGGTAGAAATAGACAATATAAGGTCTAGCCCTGTTCAAATTTAACAGGTTTCCTATCACACAGTGTTTGCTAACTAAAGAATAGTAGGTTGAATGTTCGTTGGCTTAATTATTCACCCGAAAATAATGAACATTCTGCAGTGCTTGGTTGGTGACGGTCCGGTATTGAAATGCTACACGCAGTGACGCTACACTAAATCTAAACGTAACATTCATCGAATTACCTTCAACTCACTGTTCATACACACCTGTTTCTTCAATATTACAGACGGATGATGCAATTGGTGATCGCTTCAATTATTTGTATTTTATTCCGTTGATTATTCTGGGCTCTTTCTTCATGCTGAACCTGGTGTTGGGTGTGCTCAGTGGGTGAGTTCTGGCGTGCTCAAAATTTCGCTTGTTCTAGCAGAAATGTTGGGCGTGCGCGCCGTTTTTTGGGACTTCCCATGTATATGATTTAACGGAAACCCGACTGTCCACGTAGCTCTTTATTAGTAACAAAAGATGTTCTAACCTAATTAGTGTGATGGTTAGTTTACTGTAGTTATTTTACTGCTAGTCTGATAGGTTCAACAATTTTGCCCTAAGAATGTGAGTTTTATGTTCGCAGCTGTCTACGGATTCCGCTCAGTTCCTTCTTCTTCTATCGAAAGCTTTGTTTGGACTATTCTGTTCCCGATAGTCACAAAATACAAACAGAAATAGCAAGAGTATTGCGGCCTCCGTTTTTTCGATGCTTCACATAGTTATGTTCTTCCCTATATTTGCAGAGAGTTTGCCAAAGAGCGAGAGCGTGTTGAAAAAAGACGAGCTTTCCTGAAGCTTCGACGACAGCAGCAAACGGAGAAGGAATTCAACGGCTATATGGATTGGATTCAGCGTGCAGGTAAGTTTTAAGACAAGTCGAGCAATAGAAGAAAAACAGGTTTTGAATCCATAAAAATGAAATTGAAAGAAAATAACAAATCCCAACAGTGGTAGAGGACATTCCGATGAACCACAGCTTCCCATAATTCCTTCTGTGGTCAAAACAACTACTGTATTCCAACCGATATTGGATAGCAATTTCTAAACAGTCTAATATGGCTAGCGGACCTATTATATTACGTTTAAGTTGAAATATTTGGACCGCCTATTTTGGACTGCGCTGTGTGGAATATGTGCATGTTGGTTGTTGATTAGATGGCTGTTGATCCGTTCGCCGAGCTTGGCAATTGGCTTGCAAACGTTTCGTCACCATACGAGGAGACATCATCAGTGCGCGCATCAATGCGCATTATGTACATGTGTATATTCCAGATGCAGGTCACCTGAGGGCGACTGACTCTTATGTAGGGGACATGTACTGTTTAAATGAATTTCGCGCCCTACCCCAAAATATTATAGGTGGAGTTCGCTTCTGGTTGGCAGCTAGTTATGAATTAGTGGGTCAAGAAAATTCCCGGAGTTTCTTTGTTGGGCCTCCTTCAAGCAGGACTCGTCGTTGCCCTCGAACCCTCAAACAGCTAAACGTCCGACAACTTATCTTGTAGCATATCAGCGGCCAAGGAGTGGAAGTTGCTGATGACTTAGACTGGCTCTTTCCTTGACCGCTAGTGTTTCAGAGCATGATGCTCCTCTGGGGGCATTGACTGGTGGTAAATCAAAGAATACAATCATTCGGTTGTTAAGTGGTTTGTATTTGCTCTTAAAGAGCGACTCGAAAATGCACAAAATCAGCGGCCGATTTCTGCTGAAGACGCATTAGTTCAGCCTACTAAATCTCGAGTTTCATCTGTTAAAGCCAGGATCATGTAGTTCAAATCTTCTAAGCACTTCCTGACAATACTAAACGTTCGGTTTACTTTTCCTTTATAAAACAACACAATGCGTTGTTGATTTAATAAAAGCTACCTGAAAAAAGATGGTTGGAATAATCTCATGTTAGCGATTCACGTGAAGTCATAGAATCCGCTTGATCCCAGATGCCGCACACCACTTTTAGCGTACAAATGATAGCTTTTGACGTTATGTGGTCCAGTTGATAGATCCCGATGCAGAAATAATGGTAACGCCGAATCGCGTTCACTTGCGAGCGGTCAAGTGCTTAAATATAGTCCTTGTTGCAGAAACTTGAGTCTGTATATCTGTGGCTACCAAGGCCCGAAGTGCTGATTTTCGTCTTAAAGGTAAATTCTGTATGACACAATGTATTCTGCATACTTTTACACATAAAACTCTTCTCGGCTTGGTATTGAATAAGTCAACGTTTGCCAACGTACAGTCAAACGTGGAATCCGTTTACTCCGTACGGGAAATGGAAGCGTAGCGCAATTTAATTATCGATTGAATACAGAAAACATTGTACGAACTAATGTAACAGTTTCGCTGGATAAGATGACTCACTTTAAATGGATACTAAGTGAACATGTCTAACGGAGAAGCTTGCTGACAGCGCCATTAATTTTTGGACGAATTCCACGAATTACAAAATATGGGTAACATTAGCCGGAAATAATAGATCCGCATAGAGTTCGTCCCTTGACTACTTACTTGACACCAGATTACGTCATACCGATGTAGAGGACCAGGAGTGTAGTGTTCGATTTAACGAAGCTTTGGGCTTATTTTGAAGCGGCTTTCTATGAACCGACTGGTGGTGCATCGTTACTAATACTGCCCGTATAAAGCCGGAATATTGATGCTACCGTATCGTCGAGTGACGCGTAATACCGGAAGCTCTGGGAAGACAAAAAATGTCGGAGCTGGGTTTTTATACGGTACTATTAACGCAAGACATCACTTTACAAAAATACAAACCTCGACAGTAGATGCTCGTCCACAACGAATGATTCACGTGAACTACAAAAGTATGGAACAAATTAGCAAACAGTCTCTCGCGTGACGCGGTCTCACGTGCATAAGATCGGCCATAAATACTGGATGACTTCAAGGCCAAATGATTGAAGTGGTAAGGACAAAAAACGCCAGTTCATATAGACGCGCGAAACACTAAAGTGGAGCGGGGGTTACGAATCGGGAATGAAGAAACGTGAGGAATTTCATATATCAACCTACTGTACCATGCACTATTTATAGCCGTTCTCAGCAATGACGTGTCAGTACGTCTGATGAGATGAGGGATGACATGAGGCTCAAATTTTAAAAATATTGAATTAAAGCTTAAAAGGGGGAACCGTGTGAAAGTTTAGTGAGAACTTTTGATGGCTTCTGTTATGCAATGCCATAAGCGTCTAATGTCCTCTGCTGAGAGGTAGAAAATGGCACCGAATGCATCAACGAGTCTTCTGAACTTCTGCAATCTATCGTGGACATCTTATTACGCGTTAGTCTTTTGGAGACTGCGTTTACCAACATCCTAGGCAAACTTCGTATAATGCATACGTTATTTCCGGGTTTATGTAAGTGGCCCTCAGACAAAGTAGCTTTTAAAATCCTTTTGCGAGCTAGCTGCAAGTTAGCTATCGGAGGGGGGGGGCGAGTTGTACCAAGTCGATGAAGCACGAATTTACTGACCGGAAGTTCCGTGGTTCGAACCCGACCTCCGCCTCTCGTTTCCCGATGGGCGACCTGGCAGTACCCCTGCCCTGTCTCCTTCGTGTGACAAAGCAGCTAGGCACCGAAAGGAATCTACAGCTGAACGATGTTTTTAGCTATCGGAGATGCTGAACGAGAAGATAGAGCAACATTTGAGTACGGGAATTTGAAAGACCGTCTTATTCTGCTCTTCTGGGATTTCCAAGGACTTATCAAAGAAATGATAACGACATCAAACGTAGCTAATAACAGTTTTGTTGACATTCTACCGAAAGTCAAGTTCAACACATTTCGAATGTCAGAATTCGAAGTCATTCTGCTGGTAAAGGAAAGGACCGACCACATAGGCTTTTGGAACACTGTAAAGTTTGCTCTAATTGTGTGCATTTTATGGAGTATTATTGCATCATTCGATACTTTCGGTTGCGTCAGTGAGGCGGTTCATAGGTGGAAAAAACCTCCTTAAGTAGCGATTTGGAATGAAAATACATCCAAACTTCTTATCTCTTGCTCCGAACAGAGGAAGTCATCCTTGCGGAAGACACAACAACTGCGGAGGAGCGTTTACGCATTATTTCAGGTGAGTTTTGTATGCTACTTAAAGTTGGAAAAACTAATAATGTGGCTGTAAACCGCTGCGTTAGTGGTCTTGGTGGGAAAAAAATTACAGTATTTCGAATCAGACACAAAAATAAGATTTGCACTTTCTGTTACATTCCTGGATACAGTTCATTCTTGTACTGCTCACGTGTCCATCACTGAGATTTATACCCCTTTGGGAATACGTTTTTAGATATCCGGGACAAGTAACGCTAAAAGATCATCGGCCCAAACTCAGGGGCTGGCTTACGATAACCCATAATTATTGGTTTATTGTAAGAAAACGTCCTGAAGTGTTGGACCTGTGTACCCAAAATTCACACGCTCAATGTTTAGGATAAGTGGACATACAGTACAAGAGACGGATCGGAATGAGACGGTCTTTTTTCATCGGGTGTGGGAAATATTAAAAGCTTTTCAAAGCCATCTAAAGTTTATGATCTGTGAAGAATAAAAGAGGAAAGAGAGGCTTTTCGCACACGTTTGCACGCTATATGCTAGTAAGTGAAGCAGATGTGCGTACACCCGAATAGTAGGATTAGTTTCCATATTCACAAGTATGTATATTTCAAGTCTTCGCATATTTGTATGGAATTGAAAACCGCCTGTGTGAATTAATTTGTCCCGTTTTTTTAAATAAACAGCCTGCCTGCCGGAGGGTAAAATAATGGTGTAAGACAGCAAAAAGTATTTGATTTCATTGAATCAGCAGCCGCTCCGAAAACTTGGAATGAGTTCGTTTTTGATAAGGAAATTTCCGGTAACGATGTACGCCATTCAGCTCATAATAGTGGACAGTGGACATTTAACGTTATTCTGATAAAAATCATTTCTATTTTTGTTGTAACACATTTGAAGCAGAAAACCTGGTCTGAAAAAGAAGGAAACCCCCGATTCAAACTTCGAACTGGATGCAATCTACCGATGAATCATAAATGCAGAGATCAAAGGCTTTGTCCAAAAAACCAGGTCGAGATACTTTGGTAATCGCAGTCACAACGTTAGAGCAACGAATATAGAATTCGCTCGGAATTTCGCACTCGTTCGTGGGCAGTCTGGCGTGGGTTACCGTGGGTTACCGATTTGCCACGTTAGCAAATGTCACATACAGTCGGCAGATAACTGAGCAATCCGCCAGCTCATACGGTGGTTGCTGGCTATGCCTCATGTCTTGCGTTTGTTTAGTGCACAAATGTCATGATAATATATGTCACGTTTTGCTTGCTGCTGTCTTCATGCATTTGATTGCATTTTGCACAACTGGTGAATGTTTGCATTCATAGCCTGTTACTTGGAAAACAACGCACATTTGCGACAAAAAAATGTTCTAGCTACCGCCGTCCTAATGTTATTTCTTAATGAAACAAATGCTGTTATGTTGTAGGTAGTTTCATCATTTTGCCAACGAATCAGATTAGAGTATTTGGGGAATCTGATACTCCATGAAACCCTGCGGTAGTATACCAAACAAAGAAACGAACTGAACTGTTCGAAATCAAGCTGTTCCATTCTTCAAACACCTTTCAACCGATAAACTATACTGTCTCATTTAGCTCTCCCATGTTCGAAAGCCGAACCCGGAGGTTACGAGTCCCCAGCCCCCATTAGCTGTTGACAGTTTTAATATGTTCATTGGGTTCAACCGAACGACGAGTGTCAATTAAGTACACTACCTGTGTTCCGCACTTTTCTGATTCAAACTTTAAAGTTGTGCATTGTCACCTGTCACTGACAAGGTGGTGAACCCTCTACCTTGCAGTGACCAGTAAAATTCCCGCCAGCATACCAAAATAGTAGCCAGTTGTTCATGTTTGCTGCAGCTACTTCATTTAGTATTGCTAAATTCATGCTGCGTTTTTTATTCTCTAGCAAGAAAACGGGCAGAGAAGCAACATGCAAAACAGAAGCAGATCAAAGGAGGCGGACCAGTGGACATGACCTACGATGAGTCGGAACTACTTGGAGAACCGAAAGGTTTGTTCTTTATTAGTCTAAATTTGAATATCTACTCGTGTGTGCTCATTGTACTGCACTTCCTTGCTTCTGTGCATTTTGCTTAAGAACATTGTTCCTGGTTTAGACTTGTTATACAAACAAGCCTGTTAATGCTGTGCTAGCGTTTTCCGAACTCGTCGATATAAAGATAAAGTTTAACGCACTGTCTGGATCTATAAACTACTCCCTTTAACTTTGTTTTAGTAACTCCTAAAGAGTGGACGTGCAGAATCGTGGAACTGTTACGCGTTTATACAAATCCCCCGACCGCTTAGTTGAAGCAGCCCAATGCCACAAACGGGAAAGTAAATTACAAAGTAGCGTGTGTTCTTGAAGTACAGGAAGACCCACTGTATGTAACGCTGGAAGGAATTTCTAGGATAATCGCCACAGACTCCATCGAAACCATTCTACTAGAGCACCGCCATATCTACTGCAATGTATTGTTCACGTTTGTTCTTCGACCTTATACCAGGGAACAATGCAAGCCGAATTGCATCGAGATTTAATCGAAAGATAAATGAGAACCCATCCAGTCCGTATACTAACCATTAGATGGGATTGACTGTAAGCAGGCATGATAGATTTATCCTTGTTGAATGAAAACACAAGGTGTACGACTCATCTAATGGGGTGTACATTATTTTGCCAGTAACTGCTTGGGTTTTACAAGTTTTCCAGGTGAAGGTAGACACCTTAAATGGGCATCCCCTGAGTTTCTGGTGTTCCCAGTCTTGTACATAAAAGCCGTTTAGTTCAGTTCACTGATAAACTAAGTTACGTTCAGAAGCTCACGATCGACAACCTTGTTTACGTTTGGGCAGTTATAGATTGGTTCGTTTTCTGGGAAGATCCCCTAAGACGATCGTAACCGCGGAATATATATATATATATATATATATATAGTCAGAATCTCCCCCTGAAGGCCTGCATACATATTTCCTAAGTTTATACTCATTTTTTCCGTCCAGGCTGTCTTCCTCCAATCACAATATGACTATTCTCGTTAGTCCTCATTGAAAGAGCTCCCTTGAGCTAGCAGCCTAATGATCAGATCGCAGGGTATCAACAGTGTATCCATAAGTGTATAATAGGTTAATATTTTTTGCATCGTCAGTAGGTGTTTATTCTGTCTGCTTGTCACACAAGTCTTATTCAACCAAAGTATTTTGTCCGACATATAATGTAGGTTTGGACCGTGGTAGAGGTATGATTCTATCATTCCTCTTTGGGAACAAGATGAGTCGTAATATTACCATAAGCGACAGCGCGAAAGGAGACAAAACACTGGTTATTCGCCAGTTTAGGAGATCAATGCAAAATGCCACACTTATTGAGGTTACAGAGTACAGTAATAATAGAACTTGGAATTTATCTATTTCCACTTAGTTTGGATAACTACCATGTCTGGGGAGTGCGGTGCAGCACTGAGTCTTGTGTAGGATACGCCCTGTCTGAGGGTGATAACTACTTCCAGAGTTGGAATGTTCTGGGTTGTTACGGTTTCCGCCATCAAGCATTTGAATGTTTAAAAAAATGGGATTGCATCATATCAATGAATTTTAAGCTTTACTTAATTCTATACCAGCAATTCATGCACACCGATCATTGAATCCAGCTTTAACATTTTCAGTTGCAAACTCTATCTGTTCTTGTTTTTTCCTGTCTCTGAAGATATTTCAAGATATATTTTTTGGACCGTTATGAAATTGGTCGTACTTTGAGGTTTTTGTTCTTGCATAGTAGACATGCGGCAAATGAGCCCGTCATTGATCATCGCAGCCACCCTGAGAACATCCTAATTACTGCGTGCATTAAAATTCGAAAATCCATGTGCTGTGGCACCTGACGAATGGATACTGCCAACCAAGCTAGTCAATGTTGTCTACGGACCCCCACACATACACCATTGTATTCAAGCCGCGCTGGATTGCGGGGCTTAGCATGTCATGCCTGTGCATTCCGAAACGTGTGCGACCGCTCTTTGCTCCAACTGACGCACTCCATTTGGTTCCAATGAGAGACTCTACTCAATATTGCGTTCTGATATTCTCCGCCTATTAGCTCGCCTCACTTAGTAACAAATTCGAGATATCGCAATAGGAATTCTCGAAGGAATCTGTCTGCAACGCTACTGAAAGTCCTTCGACGGCTCATAGCCGATTCCATCCCTTTTCTTCCGTCAACCTTCTCTTCTGCCTGAACCCTAATTGTGCGGAATTAGTCAACTAGTCTCAGTTGCACACCTATATGTATGTGCCATTATTATTTAACATTAGGCTGGGTATTTCATCAAAACGAAAGTGATGTGCAAATGAAGACATTTAATCGATTTCGTACGGTTTGTATTCAAGCGAAACACGGGGTTGGTGAAACCCCTTGAGCTGTGCTAACCTGATGAGCGTTCAGAAGAACGAAACTGGTTATGGGCCATCGAAGAGTTTTCAAAAAAATGAAAATATTTCTCTTGAACGATTTTTGTTTCTGTTTGCGTCCAATTCATCCATGAAGATGAAGTTTAGCTTGGACGTTTGGTGATGCTATCAGCACGTCGCTGACATGCAATTGTCAGGATCCGGGGTGAACTGTCACAACCCTTCATATCCAAAACTATTATTTAGCAGAAGCAATCACTGCGGTTGTTCAGTGTGAGAAGTGCTCGGACACGATGGCTACGGACTAACCGTACAAGTGATGGCTGACTGATTTGCACAACATTCTGAACTGGATTTAAAATGCTCTGGTTTCCTACTCTCATCAGTGGGTACTGCTTGCATTTCAGTTTCTGTACCCATTACTTTCCCATGAGCCCGAAAGGACCAGTAGCGCCTACTACATATACAGCTGTGGTGGCCATTTTCCGGTCATGCTGATAATTTCCGGAAAATACAGCATTCCGTCGATAGGATTCTAACTGATTTTATAACCATATGTTACCTGCTACTTGAAGGCACACCCGAGAATCCCGAGTTCCGAGGAAGGTTGGTAAAAATAGGAACAAAGCACCACATTTGCTATGGTAGGAAGAGTAATAACTTTTACATACCCCATGGGAAAAGACGACCAGCGGTGGGATATTGTGTTTAGATCTTGCTTGGGGTTTTGATTACCGCAAAACCCACTCTTTGTTTACACTTCGCTTCCTTTTAAGACAACACTGGATCACTGACCGAAATGGCAAAGTAACACACTTAGTTATGTATAACGCACCTCCATACTGGGTGGGTGACCACGCGTGTGGTTAAAAATACTTCTCTCACCTGCCTTGAAAAGGATGAATCCATCTTAAATGAAATAAATTGGCTGCATAGAAGGACGATTTCAAGGTGGAGGTTACGCAATAAGATCATCAATATAAGGATTCCTTGCACTTAGAGTGCGTTTCATGGTGTTTTTTATTGGAAGCTGGAACGCTGCATTCCTTGCTGGTCCATTCGTTGACAGCATGTGGATCTTAATGCAGTCTTACACCACAGCTTGCTGCAACAACTTTTATGAAGCATTTTAATTGTCCTCATTGGAAGCCGTTAGTTTTTCAAATTCTCGTGTAACATTGGCTGAAGTTTCCTCGGTGTAATGTAATTTGTTGCGGAAAAGCGAAGTTCTGGTTTGGAATTATAGTTCTTGTTGAGTGGATCCCCTGAAAGGGGTACCATGATGTAATAGAAAGTAGGCGGGTTTCGCCTGGTGTACGGCTGTACTGGGGGGATATATTCAACAGAAAGTGATAAGTTATCCATAATGGTCTTTCAATCGTAATGTCGCGTGAGAGGAGTTTGAAAGTGTCAATGGAAGAGCCAGGTGAACGTTCTCTTTGGATATGCACATTATCATTGCCCATAAGAGCACTCATTCGGCTGAGCTGTTGGGGCTCTATCTAGATCTTTCCTATAAATCCCTTCATTTACGTCACAATACATCTCTAGATGAGGAGAGAACGAAATAAGAGGTTAGACGGCCTTTGTACAGAGCACAAGCTATGGACGAAACACTACAGCTAACCCCAATGACCGATATACACTCATGATCCCTTAGATGTCATGGGTTGTTCGTCTAAACAGAACAGCCGCAACCTTTCGGAATCGTTGCACCCATGTGATCACACAAAAGTGGCGACTAAGCACAATGCAACTTACATGAAATCAAGTGAATTTCAGATGATCGCCAGACGGTTTTCACCACATAGTCGCATGGTACGAGACTATAGTTACCCACAATACTTTTACTATCTTTGCGCCCAAAAGTTTTTCTTAGCAGTTGGTTGTAATTGAGTTAACAACACAGTTGACAACAAGCAAGTCTGAAGTAGTTTCGATTCAACTGAATCTCTCGTTTATGATGTTCTACAACTGAATATGCCGCACACAGGCCGCCGCATGTTCCAGCTGGCACGATATTCGAGACCTCGCAGTATATTTTCAGGAAGGAAACTATTCACAAGGTTGAGTCTCTCGTTGAAACCGAATTAATTTGCAAATGAGTGTACTTCTCGAAAACAGTCCAATTTGGGTTCAAGTAGAACAAAAGGTTGATAGAAACTCGGGGACTGCGCCTACGTGATGCGCCCCAAGAAGAGCGAAACCGGTCGTGGGCTGTCGAAGAGTTTTCAGCAGCCTTGTGAGCAGTTTCCCTCATGAAGTAGTTCTCCTTAACTACGTAGATGCAGAATGTGAATGCTGTTCGGTAATGTGCACGTTTGTAAGTATCCATTCCAAAACATCTTAGTCACAGTTCTCACATGCGGTATCATTCCGAGCATTTTTACATACACGTCGTTCTTTCATCCAACAGCTGGAAACCTTTTTGGCCAGTCCTATGGTGAACTTCTTAAACGTCGGAAAGAACGCTGTCAGAGCTGCTGGAGAACCGAGAAGCGAATCAGGTAAGAATTAATTATGATAAAACCTAAGGGGACATTTTGAGAAGCAAGTTCCTTTGGTACGTGTCATTAGCACAGACGGAACACAAACATTGTACGGAGTCAACACCCCTCCTCTTCGGATTAGTCAGCGCCCTGAATAATGGAGGTAACGTGAAACAATCCTCCAGCAACAAAGTGGAATCAGCAAGCTCTCAAAAGTCAAATTGGCCTCAAATGATCAGGTCGTAACACTCAGATTTTGCTACAAGCGTTTTTGTAAACATATTTCTGGGTGGTAGGTTCTGATTGATGAGATTTCACGGACAGAGTTTCTTGAAGTTCCAGTTTCAAGCCACCTGTGGATTGTTTGACTTGTCACCTGAAGCGTTATTTTGGTCTACTACTTGACTCCAGAACCTCTGAAACTGGTTGTTATACGACCTCAGGGGCAACCCCATACGGCTGCCATAAGAATTATTGTCATACACAAAGTGTGAAGGTTACTGTCACAATGGAAACAAAACGGCAAACTTATGAGAGGATCGAAGTTCTGCTAGACTGCTTTCAAACTCCTCAACTAGAAGCCTTTCGTCATTTAACTTGAAAACGAAGTTCGTAGACATTTGACGACAACACTTCACACACCACATAATCATCGTCGTCTCCTACAGTTACGAGTACCCTCCTTGATGGGAATCAGTCAGATGAGAAAAACGAAATCATGATGGACATACTCTAAATCCTTTGTGTAATGTAGACGTTGATGTCAACGCCTAAAGAACGCTAACTAGAAAATCATCTGTTGGATTAAATATTACTACACTGAGTACATTGCGAATAATGAGGATAGTGAATAATCCATGGTGTCAGTGGGCAAATTTTTCGGCTCTGTCCTAAGTTCGCAGTTCAGCTATGACAAAGATGTTCTGAAATGCGAACTTAACATGAGAAGTTCGGGCACGAGTGAGTTGAGTGCAAAGATTACCTTTGAGGAGGAGGGGGATTCCAGAAGTCAATCGTGTACTTGCCGGACGGTGGCTTCTGAATGAGCTATCAAATACTGCCACTTTCTACCACTCCCGTAGATTTAATCATCTCAACTTGCCCGTTATGACTCTTTATTGTGCTAGCAGTTACTTCTTTGGATTCGGGCGATACATCTGTACTCCAGTAAAACATATTCCAATTTTTTTACAGCACCAAAATACACACAGTGTGCATGAGGTCACAATAGATTATTTGACCACTTTTTGCGTAACCTACAGCTGGCAGGTCTGTTCCGTAAAAGTCAAGTGCTGGTGCATAACACTGGTCATGCAAAGTAAGCATATTGAGAAACCCATGTGATGTAAATTTCAGCACACTGTTGATGATAGTCATTTTTTATTCATTCACAGGCTGACGCAGAATACGACAGCATGGATTTAATGCCTTCACACTCACTGGGCGTCCCTTTTCGATTTTACTCATCATCAACATAGTTTAAAGAGATGCTCCTGTCGCCAAACGCGATATTTCAATTCGGTTGAAATTAATCAAGTCAGATTTATGTAGGCTCGACTGGGATAATGTAAATTAAAAAAATAGGAGTCACCTTCTCTCCCAGTAAAAAGTAATGACCCCGTCACTCCCTCTGTCATGCCACAGATGTAGCAACAGATGAGTTGATATCATGAAATGCTGGCCGACAAATGACAGTCGTACATTTAGTTTGTTTTAATTTGTGGACATGAGGAAACAAAACAAAAATATAGCTCATTTAAACGCAATGCATCCTGACAGAGAAGTCAGTTGCTTGATAAAACGCTGTAGATTCTTGAAAAATCCACGAACATGGTTAACAGTGAGGTGAAAATGTGCGCTGAAAGACATCACCTTATAGATATGTTTCCAGCGTGCCACCACTAGTTCAGGCGCTTGCCAAGCTTTGTATTCATGGCCAGTGAAATGGGATAGAACTTGCTATAACTTTCTGGCCGGGAATTTGTTTTATACAGGTGTATACGTTTTCAACCCACTTGATCTCCCATATTAACAAAAATAGCGGAGGTAAATTTCCAGAGGGCCATACTTTGGTATGGTAAAACCAACTATCACAAGGTGTGCATTATACGGACGGGCTTGATGCATTTGTGTGACAGTCGTGGGGAATTCTTTCGGAAGATTTAACTTACTGTAATTTAATGTCTTTTAAAAGTCGATACAATGGTATCGCTGAGGACCATAAAATGCCTTCTTAGTAAAGCCTCTTCAGAAACAATTTTGATATTTTGAATACGGTTACAACCGAAACTTGAAGAAAACCGGACGGGGCAAATTCGGCGGATTATTACCAAAAATGAAACAGTCAAATGATCATCCGTTCATTGCATCCGGGTTTTCGAATGGGCTTAACTCTACACTTGTATCCAAGTCTTTATTAAAGTGGCGTACAAGTATGTCTTACCAAGTCCAAATGAGCGCTGTCGGAGTTCTGTTCAATTTGAAACCCAGTATTGTCACACCTTGATGAAATACAGGCTTAGCGCCTGACGATTTCCGAAGACATCCCAATAAACCTGTGCTAAGTGCTTTGTGAACTCCAAAAATATTTCGCAAGTTTGACCTCTAGACATCAATGTGCCTAGACGCCGTGCAATATTGCTTCCGTTATCTGAAGATACACCTTTTGACGACTACCCACTTACTAATACGTCGTGGGCATACTCACAAGTCTCAGCTCATGTCTCTGTGACGCCAACGTTCCATGATACGTCGCAGTTCCTCAATAACAGATAAGGTTCAAAAAGGTTTGTAACGAAAAGTTATGCATGCGTAATACAGCGAGCTCCTCGGGAGTTCGATTCGTGTTAACTTTAATGAGCAGGGTTTTGCAATGACGTCCGCTTTAATAGCGCAAACGACTGCCATTAACTTTATGGTTAAATTGCCATGCATGTATTTAATTGTCGGTTGGGTCCGTGATTATTCAGATAAAGATCACACAATTTTCCCCAGATTTGCGCTCCAGAACAAAGTGACTATATCCTGAATATATTTGCATTTTATACGTTATATCATCCTGAGAACAGACCCTGGAGCAAAACCTTTTTTTCGAAATTTGCCCTGGTGTGTTTTAGGCACGACATATGGTCCTTGAAAAAATGGAGCGATAGTATCCACGCGTCATAAGCAGTGTTTTAGGCATTTATGTTCACCGGATCCTTGCTGCTTCATTTTAGGGGCAAAAAGTTGAAAACAATTGGTTTGCTAGAGGACATTCACTCGCTGCTTGACTCTGTTGCACTCAACTTTGCCGTCACAGCCCTGGTAATCATATTATGGAAGATTGCAGGTGTCAGTGCGACCGAGATTACTGCTCAAAATTCCCACATTACTTTGCTGAGGCACGAATTGCCAGTAGGTTATCCGAGTTTATTGTGTTTGCCAGTGACGTCTGCAAACTTTCGGCTAACACACGCTAGCTTACATTCGCGAAAAACATTTCGAGGAGTTTCAAAGTGAAAAAAAGCAATACTACCCTTTTTTTCTATCAAATGACTAATGTCTATTCTGACTCTGTCGATAAAATGTATAGTTTGAAGTAGTTCAAGATAAATTTTGAGATAACATTTAGGCCATTTTGACTGGTAAAATTACACGGTACATGAATTTACAGACGGGGCTCGATATTATGTATTAAGGCATCTGTGCAACGATTCAGAAAGTGATCGCCGAAGAAATAGTTCACACTTAGCGTGTCGCTTCATCTAGCACCAAGTAAACGAAGGCGGTTTTTCTTATTAATTGTACAAACAAGGTGGAAAAGGCCGAATTTACGCTTCCAGTTATTGAAAAAAAATCGCCCAGGCACCCACCTGAAGTATCATTACTTTAGCGGAGAGAATTCGGGTGAAGCAGGCGTAACATTCAACCGACTAAAGTGGCTTTCTGCTGTCTGGCCACCGAATAATCCTCCTTCTGTAAAGGTTATCCGAAACCACTATCTTCGAATACTGACAGTTGAACCATTAGGGTATCAAAGTTTATTGTAACTTTTCAGCATTGGCAATCCGTTTCACTCCAATCAAGCCAGTAAACCAAATTTATTTTTTATGATCCATATTTGTTGCAACCTTTTTACTAGCTGTGATCTCCAGGAACGCATATTTTCTAGGAAAAACAAGTTTTGACCAATCAACTTACGAGTTTCACGGTAGCACTGATTCTTCCACAATTTCTCTTCAGCTCTCTCTTCTGCTCTACACATTTGCCCTCATCTCTTACACAGGTATGCTATACGAAGGATGGTGAAGAGTCAAGCATGCTACTGGATCGTAATTGTACTGGTCTTTCTGAATACCGTCTGCGGAGCAATTGAGCATCATGGCCAACCCATCTGGCTGTCTAACTTTCTATGTGAGTAATTCTATTCGAAAGCATCACGATAGCTCGGAACATGTCCGCATAATTGCTGGTATGATAAACATAAATACATCACCGGCATTGAGGCCAGTCAATCGTGAATGAACAGAGAGTAAGGATTACGTCACAGTTTATCTCGACAGGCTATACTACGTCATCTGCAAAATGAAAAGTAATTCTAACAGATGTTCGTCCACCAATTAGGCCTAAAACTGAGCATACAACTAAAATTTGGAACATATGCCGCTTTAGCTATTTGAATAAAACTATGAAAGACGCAATCTGGACAAAAGTGAAGACACAAAGTGGACAGTAAAACATTCAGCAAAGTGCACGGCGTTTATGATGAGGCACCTCCAACTTTTTGAGTGTTGTAGACCAGAATTATTACATTAATTTACACCCAGAGCAATTTGAATGATTCTTATTTTTTACTGAATATTCGAAAGTCAAAATCATTGCACTTTCCAAAACAGCGAGGCATGTTACTTGCCTTAGATGTAAGTAGGATATTTGCCGCACAGTGTTCAATGCCTTTTAACTGTTTTGTCTTAGTCTGTATGATGCTCTTGGTTTAAAATGAAGGAATTAGCTTAGTTAAGTACACAATAAGTGGATGTGTGATCGTGCATACCGTGATATACACGAATGCACTCGATATGCAGGAGTGCTCCGCAGAAGTCTTCCAAGGCACTATATAGAGGAAAAAATCTCCTTCTAGATATTTTACCACATTTTACCGCATTGCCCTCAGCTCAGAGTGTACTATTGTCCTGTGTCCTTGAAATCATTTTGACCTGAGGTAAACTGAATATGCTTCAATTACTCCATCAAAACCTATTCCTAGCGATCAAGTCCACTTTAGCTAGTTTTCACTCGTTGACTAGCCACAAGTCTCTATGATTCGTAATTCTAATCCGTCTACGAAATTCATCACATGGCATTGGGATGGTGATACGATATCCATATAATCTTGTTCTGCTTTCTGTTTCACCGTTTTCTTCAAACATTATGTAACCAACTGGTTTGTGCGAAAAATTTTCTGAGTCTGACCTAAAGCTAGACTTGCAATGCATTTTAAATTTACTTTTGAGTCTAATTAGAACTCGGGAGAACTGCTGTTGCAGAATGCGTGATTCCGGCTAAAAAACGGGTACACTGTGGATTTACCTCAGACATGTTGGAGAGATTTTGGTTTCATCTTACGTAAAGCTTGCTTGACTCCGTGACTGGAAAACGAAACGATTTTTCAATCGTGGTCACTCCGTTACGACCATTCGTAAGCTTGCATCTTACTGTTACTGTCAAAACGTTTACTCGAGAACACTGCTCATGTGATGAATGTGAGGATCTTTCTCGCCCACCTATTATTTAGGCACTTCGGTGGTTCTACATCGGTGCTGGAACGTTTGACCATTGATTGTTTTTGCAGTTAGGGGCGCGTAAGAGTGGAAAAATTTGCAAAGATATGCAAGCAAAAGCCAAATAAGCAACTTAAACACGTGCGAAAGATGTTTCCAAATGGAGACAAAAGTGATTGAGAAAGAGTTTAAATGACTGGATAGATACTATCGTACGTCAGGCTGCATGCCAGGTATCTCTGACCATGTTTCGGGCAACTAAGTGCTTGGTCGTGTAAATTTCTATCGTTATGGGGTCACCTTCGCTGCTTTAACCTCACTGGATAGTGGTTTTTAAATTAACGAAACCTCAATTGTAATGAAATATATCAGAAGTTGAGATAAATGGAGCAGTCAGTTGGTTAGGGGTACGCTAGAGTTAGAGGAACTTATTTGCTGCCACAATTATCCTTACTGTTAGGCGAACCGTTTACCTACAGGATTGCTCAACATCCGGAATGGAATCACAGCAAGCGAAAGTATACTGACTTACCCAGTTGAAACATCATTTTGTATCTAATGATTCAGACCGAGTGCAAGAGCAGTCATGTTAACAAGAATCTTTTACTGAGCGTGATCTTTCTTGCCAGTAAACAAACAGTCAAAATTAGCATAAAGAAAAGTCCTCCAACTAATTACTGCATCAGGTTGAGAAGCTGTTTGTTGATTTTACCATATGTATTTTTTCTCCAACAAGAATTGAATTACATTGCACTTGAAAATACTGAATGCATGGCTAATATTTCTCACACATGACGAATCCCCTGATGAATGATTGTCGATAAGTACATCATTTGTTCGCAGGCGCCACTGCTAATGAACTGAAATACCTTACCCTCCTTCCGTAAAATCAAATTTATCGGAGCCACCTTCTTCAGCTGCTGGGCTAAACTCTTTGTGCATCAGGAGGGAATAAAAGCAAACGAGGAAATTGCCTATTCATTCAAAATAGTAAACCACAAAAGAGCCATCGATGATAGTTTATGAAATAAGCTGACGATAAGCATACCTACTGAACATTTCCCTGTAATTTGTTGATGCACATAGTCGTGAGCAATGGTATCTTTGATCAGAATTCCTCTTTTGGTTTCATAACAAGTTACTGATAGACTGATCGTATCCAATGTCTCTTTTTGTCTTTTCTACAAGACTATGCGGAATATGTGTTCTTGGGACTGTTCATAGCGGAAATGCTTCTGAAGATGTATGGGTTGAAAGTACACATATATTTTGAATCTACCTTCAATATTTTTGATTGTGCTGTAAGTTGCATTTACTATGGAGTGGTTTAATCTGTTTTTGCGTATTCATGTCGGCGTGACTAACAGTGGCCCGAAATACGAGAGAATACAGTCTATTCCTGGATAATGTCACGAAACCTTAGGAAGTGGCGACAGTTTATTTTTAGTTTGCTATGTGTTTTCATGGAGACATCGAGAGAATTTGATTTTGTAAACCACGCTATTGAAAATAAGAAGCAATGAAAATGGCATGTTTATTGGTGAAACGAAAACCACAAGGCACGTACGACCGCCGTATTTGCACTGCCTACTGCATTATTATTTTGATCTTAGATACGAAAGTGTTTTCATCCGGCTTGAACAATTATGCTCTTCTAGTCAGGGGACGAGTGCTGATGAATCCAGTTTCACTAATCGTGGTAGACTCGATTATGTCACGTTTGTTTATTTCCAACAGAGCTTTCTGCATTTAGGTAAAGCCAATTTATGCTGATAAAACGGGAACCATTGTAAAGATGAATTAAGCTTACCAAGAATAAGCAGAATCGCGTACCACGCTGGTCTTCTCCTTAATATCCTGGTTAATAGTGAATGACTAAAGAGTCTGGATACAGACCGCTGGTCAGTTAGCCCGCAGCCAAACAGGATATAATACCACCTACTATTAAATTACGGAATTCACCTCACATGTCCACATGTTGTCTGGCCTCTGGAGCGGAGACATCCTGTATGGGCAGTTTAGTCGTCAAGCTGTTTACAAATAAGAGGCCCACTGGTTCGTTGCAAGTACTCTTACAATATAAGTGTCTCTACACTGAGAAGTAGACATAGCGTCCAGATATTTTCTGTCCAATGCAGCAGGATCGGAATTGTTAAGTGTTGGAACCCATGTTGGTAACAACACCATTTAGCTTGCATGTTCTGTGCCGTCATATCTAAATTTCTTGCAGTTGAGTCAAATCACTCTTTAAAATTGCAGGTAATTATTGGGAGTCTTTTTGAAATACTTTGGGGTGCGTTTCACCCGGAAGCTTCATTTGGAATCAGTGTTTTGCGTGCGCTACGACTACTTCGAATTTTCAAGGTCACGAGGTAAGAAACACCCATATGCACTTTTGTCATTCCAGGTTTATTTTTCCACTGTTTTTTTTTCAATTTTCTCATTGTTTAGGAAGGCCAGAACAGTATATATCTAGGGGCGGACGGGTTAAAAAGTGTAAGAACTTTTGCAAGAGGAGATCGTTGGCAAGTAATTGCCACAAAGTTTCTCATCCAAAAATAATAATAATTCGTGTTATCATGTAGTCCGCAACCTGAAATGTGGCTTTTGAATATATCACTGCTAATTTAAGGTGTTTGGCTAACCAACAGCTTCACAACATGGTGAACATTTTTATGTGCATTGTTGCTTCACTGATGATAGCGGAGACTTTCGTCCCACAAAAGTTATTAAGAAGGTACTAGTCATTGTGTCTAGCTGGCATCCTGATCTTCCCGCCTGCCTTCGGGACCCTTATTCAGTCGAACTCAAAACTCTACCGATACGCCCTCCCGCGTGTAATCTGCGTAGCATATTACATCTTTCAAAAGAAAGTCATGAACTTGTATCTTGAACACACACTGGGGTTCAGTGCACGTTTTATCTAGATAGACTTGAAGAAAATCCGTATCCGGCTGAGGGAGTAATGAGAACTAATGGCCAATGTTCACAACGATGACACGTCTGATGAGAAAACGTTATAACATGAATTTGTAAATCGCAATTTTCATATGAAACATTCGCTGCAAAAATGGATATCAGCTGTTTATTTATGAATGCCTGATCAATTTCCCTCTTCAGATATTGGGCCTCGCTCAGAAACCTTGTGCTTTCGTTGTTGAACTCAATGCGCAGCATCATATCGCTTTTGTTCCTGCTGTTCTTATTCATCCTCATTTTCGCATTACTCGGGATGCAACTATTTGGTGGGGAGTAAGTAGCTCATTAGTGTCCTTTTTTCCCTTACTTATTGTTCTACTTCGCACAGAAGTATCTAAACATTGTCTGAAGAATAAATGAAAACGCAAAATATTACGAGGACGGATAACGAGGCGTTACATACGTCTCGTAGACGTATCACTCAAAAGCAAAAGGAAAATTTTCGTTTAATGTTTCTTCCCCCTATGAAAGTTCTGAGGATAGGGTCTCCTGACACATGTGAACTGCGAACGGCCAGCATGGGAAAGCACAATGTGATGCTTGCACTTCACTCGTGTAAAAATGCGCGTGGAAGATGTTCGGACAATTTGCTGGCATACGATTTTGATATTGCCTGATGCATAAATTTTTGCACAGTTTTGCGCATGAAGCCAGAGGAAACGTGACCATTCGATTAGCTAACTGTAAACAGCTAATTTTTTTGCCATTATTGCCAGTATCTTAATGAATACGGTTTACTGTTCTCAACATTTTTTTAGTGTAGTTCGCGCTTTACAAAACGCAGCAAAACATTTAGCCACCGAAAAATAGGATCACAGAGAAAATACATGGAACTCGCTTAATGATTTCTCTTCTGTCATTGCATTTATTTCCATACAAATGAAGGAAAAAATAATTTTTGAAAGATAAGCTTCCTGAAGCATAAGAATTGGACAAAAGTTCGGCTGTCAGCTACCGACTCCTGATAAATCCCACCTATTTCCATCAGAACTCAATCAAGCTGTGGAGTTTCTTCTGGTCAACTGAGAAATTATATTTGATATGAGCTGATTAGAAGGCGTAAATGTTCGCACACCTCAAACACACCGGCAAAGATATGTTCACTGTCTATAAATGGATGGCCATTTGAGGTTTCAATCGTTCCTAGTCAATGAAAAAGCAGAAAATTTTAATACCTGGGAGACTGACTTGCACTACGTACGTGAGTATGAATCGGAGTCACAAAGCTAAATCTGTAACGAGACTACGAAAACATGCATACGGTTGTCAAATATTCTCTAACGTACGAGCTACATATGAAACACTCGAACATCAGAGGACTACCCAAAATTTGACAATATTCTTTACTTCCGGCCTTCCAATTTGTCCTTCTCTTGTGTTACGTACGCAAACGCTGAAACGATCCTTGCCATAAAAGCGTGACTCAACCGAAGGCGCGTTCGCGATGCCTCCCTTTAAGGCGACGATCCGTTTGTGGGCAGAATAACAAGCTTTGCAACTTACGGGATTACCATAAGGTAGCCGTCATGATCAGAAAAATGGTTACCGATACCAGCCTGTTTTATCCACAGTACACTTCAGTAGCACTGATTTATCCGTTCTCTCTTTTCATCAGGGGAAAATGACCTTGTGAAAGTTTTTGCCAGACACCATCGAGGAACAAGGCCTCAAGTAACCTTTGGTTTTTGCAGCACTTGAGAGCAACTTTTTAACGGTTAGTTCCTATTGAGAGGGAATTTTGGCGTCGGAAATCCGCTTGTAATGAATAGTTGATATCCTGAACAACGGGCTCATGATAGTGGTAAAGTTCCGCGAATTCCGTACGCACTCCTTCTGAATCAAGTCAAAAGCCACAGACACTTCACTGGAGGCCTGGTAGTTTTGCCCATATAAACAGTATACGAAGTCTAGATTAAATACACCAGTTCCCAAATTAAATGACAAGCCAACTAATTTCTTTGGAGCACGTGAACCAGCCACTTAATACTCGCCTGCATTCAAATCGAAAGAGATGTTCGGAAAATTACGATACAAAACCACTAATGTGAACTGATGAACTGTTGTTCCAATTAACTTGAAAGGCTGAAAAAGCAGCGCATGTAAATCCAACATAAGTTGACTGACTGCTGATTTTTCCAAGGTGAGAATACCCATCACCTTTCGCAAATTGAATCATACTTAAATGTGACATTCTCCTCTATTTTCCAGTTTCAATTTTGATGAAGGTCGGCCAACTCAGCATTTCGATACGTTTGTCAAAGCGCTGCTGACAGTGTTCCAAGTGAGTTGTTTTATGGTTCTGGAACCTCAAATTCTGACGGGTTTTGAAAAATTATGCGTTGTTTTGCCAGAAATTTCCTGGGTGACTAAGTGGATATCAAAAATTTTGTTCGTAATCTCCTGGTAAAGAATTCACAAAATAGACAGGTTTATCATTTACTGTTTTTAACAGAAGTAACGATGCAAGTGAGACGTCGACTACGGCGTTTTGGTGGATTTGGAAATGATTCAACGTGCGCTAGATAACGGACACTTCGATCTGGTAACTTCAGCCAGTTTTAGGGCCGGTAAGCAGTCAAAGTGACCTTCAAAATAAAGTGAATTAAACGGTCCCGTGCACCTTCATGTCTGATCAGTACACCCCTAATCGTGCTTCAGGTGAACTTTCCAAGTTCACACGTCAGAGGCATTGTTTTTAGGCGAATTGTAAGATCTCCCCGGTGCAACCAATCCTCTTATAGAATAGTGTGACCAATAAAAGCTTTTGATGCCTCAGGTTCGTCGCTCGCAGTGACTGAGACTCAACTTATAACTGAGATACTAAATGCACTATAAAGGAAAGAAAATCTATGCTGAAGTAGAAGGAGTTACGTTATACTCCTTTGTTTGGGTGTGGTTCCAGAAACGTCCGTTTTTTTTGTCCGCCTGATTATCTTCCTTCATGAGGAACAACAGTGGGGGGACAGCCTTCTGAAAAAGAAGCGCATTAAGAGGTCTATTTTTCTACAACCTATGAGCGGGTATTATTCCCAAAAGCTGTTTGCTTATCTGTAAACAGAATGGCGTTTAGCCCCATCTAATCATCCACTCCACTAATGGCACATCACGAATTAACATTCTGAATTTTGCTCCTGGTCCCCATGCCAACAATATTTATCATATCTGTAAGTCGTTTGTTCTTTTTGACCTCAAAAATGGTTGTTCTACTTTATTCGGATTATTGAGACCCGCTGGCGTGGATTCATCTCAACACGTCGAAAAAACTATATCTATTTGGAAACTTACCTTTTGATTGGACGAAATTAAGGTGTTTGTCTATGGCATGCATCAGAATATATATATATATATATATGTATATATATATACATATATATATATATAGCATCACATACACCACTGTTTCATTTTAGTCCAACTTACGTGATTCCATGAGGCTGTATGCTATACCAGATTGAGTTCGCTTCATTTAGTCTCCAGCGTGACGTTGATGGTTACCGAAAATGGGTGGGAGAATAGCAGCAGGCTTTTGCACTACAGGAAACCGGATTACAAGTTGGTTTGGATGTGGAATTCACACTTTTTGCCGCAGCAGACCTACGGAGTACTCTTAGATTCAGTGTTTCCAAGGTTGAGGGGAAATAAAAAATCGGCCCTAAAAATCTCACATTTCAATCCTTCAACAGTTTGTAGTGAACGCCCGTACGGCCGAAATGCTTTCGAAGATCAAGTGTCCGGAGACGCCCACAAAGCATCTGCCTTGATTTTTAGCACTCGATTGCATGATTTGCTACTGTCTGTGCAATTAGTTAATACCGGCTGCTCACTGTACTGTGAATCAGGCCTTCAGATAAAAGTCTACAAATGGAGTTCTCAAAACAAATCCCAATATCCAGCCTGACTCACCAACAGTAACTAATTTCCCTTAGGTAGAGCCGATTCCAATAGATAGGTAAAACACCTCGCAGAATGGACTCAGTTGCAAACCATTATGTTTTTAAAGATAGAACTAGCGTAAAACAAAGGTAATGGAGCCAACTGTATGCAGTATATTTATCCGCGTCGGATAGTCTTACACCCGCTGGTGCTTTGGATATACGCTTACAATGATTCACCAAACAGAAATTGGAGCCGAGTCGAACAATTTTGTCGGTAGTACTTACTGGCTTGTGAGTTTTGTGGTGCTGGACGCGACCAGGAACATGCAGAAAAATGATACCTCAGGGACTGGACCACTTCATTTTTAGAATGAGGGGAACTACCAACCTGGATATTTTAGAATTTTGCAATTCTGCTCAAATTTCATGGTAACAAAGGAAGTAAATTTCACAGGTGACTCGTTTTAGGATGGAATTCTATGTCCGGAAGGGAATATAGTCCATTCAACAAATCATCATTCTATATCACACACATAATTTACCGTGCAGAGTTTGAACTGCTCCGGTGAATGGATCGAATGCTTGATCTTAGGCAATGTCCCTAATATTAGTACCTGAACTTCGACGTATTGTAAGACTAAAGATCCGGATTCAAATCTTCTCTAAATCTTTACAAAGTAAACTTAAATTACTATGTGGAAGTTTCATAATAAAAACGTAATTTACAATAGGGCTTTGAGCCCAGTTGTAATATTGGTCATGTTCGCGTCACGCAATTATTTCCAACAAGTTTCCGGAATCTCAACTATTGTTTGGCAGTTCGCGGTGGCAATTCGCGACGAGCTGTAAGGGCCTTCAAAAAAACAAGAATATTACGGATATTCGAACCTCGGACATGCCCTCTGGGGTTCAGTGCGTTTACGTACTGTGTGAGTTGATACACACCGTTTGTTGTTAAGGCACTCCCAATGAAATACTTAGTGTCTAACTCCCCTGAAGGCGGGAATCCTGGTTGCCATATCAGTTACGTCCAACAAACTTGCGGTTTATTGCAACAGCTTACTGAGAAACGTAGTTATTACTACGCCTTTCTTTCAATCTATAACCCATGTAGATTTCTGTGTGCCAGATGATACAGTGAACAAGCTTTTCATTTTTCATCTCTTACTCACAGATTTTGACAGGCGAAGACTGGAACACCATAATGTACAATGGGATCCGTGCTCAGGGTGGAGTTTCTGGTGGTGGCGGGATCTATGCGGTGTATTTCGTTCTCGTGATGTTGGTCGGGAACTGTATCCTTTAACAATGTCCGATAACCAGTTTTAGGCTATCTCCGTATAAGTGGACTGAAGTTATGACGTATCCAGTCACCAGTATGGTTGATTGGGTTTCCGAAACTACACTGGACCGGAATAGCAGCAAATAGTTGCCGTAAAAACTATGTGCATGTGCACAATCCTTTCAACATTTCACAAGAACCTTTTTGAAACACGGTTATGTAATATTCCACTTTTTCACAGTAATCAACTGAACGAAGCTTTCTCCTTCCGAATGAAGCGCAGAATATCGAAGACGAGGAAAAAACATTATGCTATTATTGGCTTTTATGTCAATTTTGGGGCCCAGCAAAGGGCTTCTGAATCCCCACGCTACAGTCCGTCGGTAGACAGAATAATACACTGAATATAGCGCTTTGGCTTATTTTAGGCGTCCTTCGGGGACTTCAAGTGGCAGGATTAACAGTGAGTCTATTCAAGCGACCCCTAATTCGGAAACGGATTCTCAGCACGACGGCTGGTTACAAACTGTAGCAAGTGGATACACGATTTGAAACGAAATAACTTGAGTTACTGAAAGCGCGCGCCATACAACCAGCATTAGAATAGCCCATCAGAGGAGTGAAGAATTGCGTTCAGTATCGTTGCAATCCTACAGACCTAATCCCCGTGTCATCACTCCCATTTCGGTATTGACAGATTCTATAGTAAGGATGGCTTACTGGTATCTAGTTCCGATGTTGTCTTTCACACTGAATTGAGAATAAATTGGTAACAAAACACTTTTACGCGGTGCAAACAATGCAAAGTGTCTTTTGTGGCTCTCTTCTTTTGAGTGAGTAAATTTCCGGGTTTAGAATGATTAATTGCCAAGTTTACTGTTCCGGAATGCAAATCAACACACACTAGAGATGATGCTATTTGAGGAGGTACAAACTTTCGAAATTCCCAGCGTAAGTTTAGCAGAGGAAATCACGGTCGCTAGGCTGGTAAAGAGAATGTACTAACTTCAACTGTTTGGATACAGTAAAACTTCCGTAGCTACAAACAGCAAAATCTTCCACAAAAGAAATAATGAAGAATCATTAACTAAAGTGTCCTGAACCGGAAGACCACAACCGATGACCCAAATAAACCCGGCTACCGATTTGATCACGACGTTTTTTTGCCATGTTTAACGCGTATTCGATGTGTAAGTTGATATGCAACTCACTCATCAGCTGTCTTTCAGGCTGACATTCCCATACAGTCCAGAGAAAACTTTGTGTGAGAGGAGAACTTCGCTCAACAACAAATCAATCAGTTTTCCAAGCAAAATTGTCAAACAATGAATTTTTGACTTACTATGACTGATATGGAATTTTACTGTTAGTTATGAGTGTCCAACTGGCAGATGCACAAACTTAACTGCCCGCCGGGATATCCTAGATACCCTTCTGAACGTGTTTCTGGCTATCGCTGTTGACAATTTGGCCAATGCTCAAGAACTGACCGAGGCCGAAGAGGAGCAGAAATTGAAAGAGGAGGTAAATCTTCACTTGCCAGACATTGAACTTTGACATTTTTCAAGATAAACTTTGAAAACAAAATGGATTTGCAAATGAGTGTATATCTGGAAACTTTGAACGTTCATACGGTGGAAATGAACTCATTTTATTGGCTCTTTTCAATAATTGTTCATGTCACAACTTAGCAACAATTCTCCTCTCTAGTTAAAATCACATGTTGTCGTCCCTCTCTAAAGCGTGGAATATTTGTAACGGTTACCTTCCGCTGAATTACTCCTCCAATCGATTTGGCACCTTCACCTACTATCTCCACCTTGTTTTGCCTGTCTCACAATCACGCGTCAACATCACGACGTGGCTACGACTTGGCTACGACATATCAATATCATGTGAATTCCGGTGTCATGACCTTTTAAAGGACGCCATGTGATTTCCCATTATTGTGTTCACGTACCACCATCCTTGCAACGGCACACAACACGGTCAATCACCCACACGCATCATGGAAAATCGCGCGTCAGAATGCAGTTCCGGCCTGAACAACGCAGGTAACGCTTCGGTATTGGACTAACCAGCACACTGTGTCGCAAAGCGTCAAGTCCCTGTGGTTATCCGGATTATCGACGTCAAAGTGTTAGTCAACGATAGATTCCCAACTTTCTTTGTACTGATAAAGTGTATGTTTACGAGAGGACAGATATGGTAAAAATCATAGTGCAACTTGAGTACTACAAATACAATCTCCAAACAGAAATAGGTGAAAAATGCGGATCTGTCGTGTGAAGTCAAATCGAAGTCAACAATCCGAATAATCAGGAGGACTTGACGCTATACGACGCTGTGTGCTGGTAAATCCAGTACTGGGTCTAAAGTGCGTTGTTTGGGCTGTTGTGTGTTGAGCCTGAACTGCGTCCTGTCGTGCGCGCTTTTCCGTGATGCTTATGTTGGTTGACCGTGTTGTCACCATATGTTTCGTTGCACTGGAGGTGGACCATGAAAACAATGCTGGGGAATCATATGGCATCCTTCAAAAGGCCACGAAACCGGAGTTGGCATGTTATTAACATGTATATCATTCTCTAATTGCGGAGGCAAGCAGCGATTGGTTTGGTGTCAACAACTATGACAACCATTGGAATGGAAAGAAGCTTTTGATCAAATTGCAAATTGCTAATTACTACACAGAGCATTTGTGGAGATTAGCGAAATTCGCATATGGGCAGCATCTAGTGCTGCGCGGTGCAGAGCGCGCCCCTACCTCTCCTTTTACTTGCATTCCATATGACCGGAATAGTCCACATGGGTAAGTTCTTCGCCAGAAAGTCAGATTGCGTTGATCCTTCTCTTCCTTGGGTTCTCGAAATATTTTTCGCCTGTGAAACTGTCGCTTAGTAAGTCGCCACTTCAAAATCCACTCAAAGCGGTACATTTGTCCCACTTAACTGTTTGTGCGTTGGCAATCTGTAGTTGCCTCACACAGAATAAGACCATTTACCTTGAGAAAACTACAGTGCAATAGTACAGCAGATAAACATTTGCCCACATTTGAAGTGCTGTAAGACTGTCAACTCCGGAAGTGTCTGGCTCTTGTTTGTAGTTCAAAATATACGTGTACTTTCAGTTGGATGCAATTGTAAGTGCTGAAATAGAGATATTTGGAAACCTAATAGACTATTGGTCTATAAGTTTTACAACGCTTTTGTTTCTGTTCACTCCAGATGCAGGCGAATGGAGAAAATATGGCCAACGAATACCACTCAGAAGAGAGTATGCCTCAGGCACAAGTGAAGCCCGTACAAACACTGGCTAAACCCTCCCCTCCGATTGCACCACTCACAAATCAGAGGAGGATAACTGGGTGAGTTTATTTCTAACAAACATGCTAACAGTGACTAATAAAAACACGTAATTACCGAATTGATTAGACTGAGCATATTAGTTTCCGAATTTAGGCGAGTACACAAAAATGATATGGTTTGGTTCATTCAGTGTTAACGTTTGTTGGGATTCGCGGGTTTATACGTACTGGCCGTAATCCGGTGGCACAGTTTCTTGTGCGGCTCCAATTACAGAGCATACTTCTCACCACAACTGATGAAGCTGATGGGTATTCTTGTCGTTGGAACACACTGAAGCCCTCTGGACGACTGCATGGGCATGAAATTAGGCTCGATCCTTGAGGGCGTTGGGGCACCATTGATGTATGTGTTTGCTCTAAGTCTAGTTAGACCTGTGGGGCGCTGTCTACAAAAATGTGTGCAAAGATTTGATTGGAAAAATGCCTCTATTGTATTGTATTGTATTGGACTGGATTGGATTGGATTGGATTCATGAAAGCCTTGCTCTTGTGTGCTGGACTACCAACCTGTTTTTCACCAGATTGAAACCATGCTTCTGATTTCTCAAAAGTGTTCTGGAGAGTGGAAGTGAATGAAGCTCTAAGAGAGTGGTAAATATGGCAGATTTTTGTTCTACTGACAAGGAAAGGAGAGAAATCAGTCCGCAACACAAAGATATTTTATGGAGTTATAGCTTATTGTGTTGACTCTTAAGGTATGGTTATACTATTTTCCAAAATCTCACAAATATTTTGTTGTTCTTACGCTGCAAGAACTTCTGTACTACTGAGTTACCACAGAAAAGGGATAACGAATATTTAAAAGAACCTCATGGGTGAGAACTCTCATAGTATAAAAGGGACCTTGCAAAGGAGACGCTAATTCTTTCTAGCAGTAAAGCTAGAGAACCTCCATACGCGAAAAGGTACCGATTATTCCATTTAAAAAACATCCCTGAGAGGTAGTCCCTGTGTATATATCAAGTATATTTCATGTTTGAATACTAGATTGGATCTAAACACTGTTTCGGAAACTAAACTGGAGTTCACCTGCAAATGAGAGAGAAAAAAACTACTTGTACCTGATACAGAGTCGAGATAACATCCAAATTACAAGTGGCGTTCCGCCGAAAAAAATAATTTGGCATATTATATGTCTAGCCACATAAAATATACGGCGACACCTGTGCACCATAAATATTTAAAGAATTCCTTAAGCGAACGATTTGACCAGCGTCAGGTGATATACTATGTTAAAATAATCTTAAGTTACAAATAAATATCAAAATGTGTTTAATACTTGCTGTTTGACTGGAACTTTCCATGAATAATTCTGTGTTCGGAAAGTGTAAACCCAGTGGTGTGTTGTTAACGAGTATCCGTCCGTCCTATAGGTTGCGTCATTTCACGGGAAACACCTGGATACCTTGAGTTTCGTCTCAGACGGAATATGAGACGTTTTCCGGTTGAACAACAAGATAAGATAACTGTGGTATCATATGTGGTAATGCGTTCACACCTTAATTTATATATGAGTATTCAACCGCAGTAAACTGTCTGACTGAGACATACAAGAACAATTAGAATAGGGAAATGATAACCGTTGCTAATGACTTAGTAGGTAATGTGTGACCAAAACGCATGAGGCCACTTGCGTTTTTATGGGCGTACTCCTTTCAGTCTGTTCAACAATGAGATTGGTTGTTTTTCTTTTGTTTGAGTTGATGTCCGGATGAGATTATTTTTTGGTTTAGAAGGCCATTACCAATCATAAGACACACTGTGCACCGTCTGGTGAACAGAAATGAGAACCTAATGACGAGAAAATTTTCAAACTCGACTCTGATGTTCGGAAGATTGCCAACGGCCATAAGTAATTTATCGAAGAATGGATGGGTCTTGTATCTCCCTCTCGTTAGCGATGAAGTTTTAATTATATTCAGTACTAACCACTTGGATCGGGAAATCAGTGAACACAGTGACATACATACATACAAAAAAAATACATACATAAGTTTTAATACATACAGAAAAATGCATAACTACCAATAGCCCCACGATTTGTCCTCCGAAATGAATAACAAATGGAACAAAACTATGGCACAAAGGCACAATGCAGATCTTCGTATGTGCGGGACAGATTGTGCATACAGTCCCTGGTGAACACTTCCCTCACATTTCTGAAAAATCGGCGTCTGAAAACAGCGGTCTGAAAACAATAGTAACTATGCAAAATCGACAAACAAGTAGCCCTACATTTTAAAGCTTCACAAACCAAACAATAGTCATTGTCTATCAGATTATTAGCCTGTCTAACCGAACGCTATAATCCATGGTTTTGTATTACAACCACATATCTTGGGTGGGGACCCCAACAGCAGTCCACTCCACGTCTTCTCTTGATAGGTTCGTATTGGACGAATACACGAGAATTGGTTCACCTGATGTTTTTGTTCAAAATTCACACTAATAGGCCGACCACAATCCAATTAAAACTCCACTCTGTCTGCACAGCCTTTGTCAACTCGGTCGTTCTATGGTTTGTGATGTTCCAAAATTGTTGATAGACTGACATCTACCGAACTATTAGCATTATCAGAAATTTAAGCTCCTAATACGTCAAGTTGTGAGCTTGGCATTCTTCTCAGTGATAGGTGAAAATAGAGGTAATTTGACTTCACAGAGCTACTGGCTGCTTATGTTGTTCCAATCAGTGTTTGACATTTAGATGTATTGAAGGGTTGTCACTCGATGATAAGGCTTCACATGTTTCGCTCATACAACAAGAAATCACCGCTCCTTGCAAAAACACACCAGGAATCGAATCTGGACACGGCCACCCGGTATAAGTAAAAGAAACGCGTAGCGGACGGCTTCTTCCTGTACAATTATTATTTCTAAAACAGCCCTATGGCTTTGAAATTATTCACCCTCTATGATAAATTAGAATGATCAAAACAACCCCCCACTATTTATATGTTGTAGGTTTCTTAAAACAATAAAGTTGGCAAACAACACTTTTTCGATAAATTTGGAAAAATCATGTCTTAAGCTTTTATAAGCAGCCTGAAACCGCTTAAAAAGCTCGTCGGTAATCCTACTTTTTGGGTGGAAGGGCGGTTCTAATTAGACGTTTGGAGGATTTTTGTGTAGAATCATTTAATTTTAAGCAAAATGGTTACGGATTACTCAAGATTTGTTCCAGCTCTTCTAAAAATTATCTACACGGCATATGACTGGAAATTCTTTGTAGCGAATCCCTCTTGAGGAGCTACAAAATGAAGCTATCATACACGATATAAATCCGCAGCATCACGTAACCCTTGTATTGCTTCTTAGGAAGAGGGGTTTAACTGTGAACTTACTGCACGCCAATTGACGGTTTTCGGAGTACTCATATCACAAAAGTCTGATGCCTGTACAGAATCCCATGACTTCGCAGTCGATATGGAGGATTTGCTTCAATAGAGAAGAAACAACGACTGCCTCAAAACATACCTTTAATTTCTTTTAAATAGCACTTCTGTGGCAAACACATGGGTGAAGGGTGAGAAACTGGCCCATGCTCCCCTTCCGTTCTCACAAATTTTACAAGACGGAATGAATGCAGAGAGGACGAGATTAGAAAGCTGTGAGTCCCTAACACATTTTTTCCAATACATCAATTGATTGAAACGTTTTCCCGTTTCCGAGATATGCTGTATCTCTTTTTGTGTCTAGAATTCTTTTCGGGAATTGGACAGGTGGGAAATCTAAACCAACAGATTTGACGTATCGAAGATAACCGAAGATCTTTAGTTCTTTTACAACAATCTACATGACGTCTCCTCCCACTGCGCAGCATATAAACTTGTAGGGTTATTATTTCAGTCATTGTACATGCTGGTATGAGTTCGTGGATCACATCCGTACTTCTGTGTTCCAACTCCATGCACCGTCCCTTGATTTTTCTTGCAGTTGGGAAATTGAACATGGTTTCGATCGAGAGCGACGACACCGCAAGATTACAGGGATCAACACAACAAACTCAAGGAAAACCTATTCTACCCTACAGTTCAATGTTCATTTTTGCCCCGAATAATGCGTAAGTGTTGAGTTTTCTATCTCTCATGTTTGCTGAAAATACATATCCAGGGAAGTAATTTGCCCGCAGATTTCTAAAGTGATTCGTCATTCCTTGCCTACTTCAACTAAAAAAACTACAGCTCGGGGGGGTTAGCGCTTACAGCATGTCATTGATTTGTGAGATCATGCTTGGAGGCGCTAATGACGAACTAACTGGTGATTAGATGATACAATATGTTTTGTGCCGGAGCACGTTCAACCCTAATAAGCATGATTGGGTAAACGATTACGAATAAAACAAGGGGCTGTCTAGTTTTGTCGTAAACCTCAGTGTTTGATAAAGTCATGAAATTAAACACTTTTCTCTTCTATCAGGTCGTTTATTGTTTTCAAGAGAAAATGATATAAACGTTCCGACAATAATCATTTTAGTAAACTGTACTGCATATTACATGTGGAATTACGTCTGAAGTTGTCTTAACTAATTTGGGGGCCTAATTTCCCATTAATCGTGGTCGAAAATCAATTAGATTTGTGCATAAGGCTCTAATACAAGATGGATATTTTGCAACCTATACGAAAATCGAATATTCGCTTGGTGTCTTACAACAACGCACAATGATAATTTATCGCCAATGTAGAAATCGGCAGACCACGCCGCTTCGTGAATGGTGTGATCATGTTTTAAATGTTGCTAAGGTGACGATTTTACTAAAGATTACGTAATGGACAGTTTGGTGCTGGTTTGCTGATGGCAGCAAGAGTAATTCGTCAAACCTTTGGTTCAAGACAAGGTACTAGAGCGCAGAATAACCTTTGATTTGGGTTTATGGCATATATTTCAGATCCGAGGCGGACGGTTAATCTCCTAGCGGTCCTTTGTAATTCGAGGTAGCCCTTAATGAGCGGCTGTTGACGGAATCAAAATTATTTGCACACGACAAGATGAGTGAATCCGTTGAAGTTCTTGCACGCTCAGGCTAGATTATTTCACATCCACTGACATTTCACCCAGATTTTACAGATTGGCCCTCCATCTTCCTTAAAATGAAATAAAAGTGGGACTTAATTATCAATTTTAATAGAACCACGGATAAAACTACATCAGCTCATGAAAAGACTATGAGTCCTAGCTACTTTGACTGACAGTTCAGTATGTGCATGGCTATATTATTTTCCTGTGTGAAATTATTTTGTATAGCATAGAGTTATCATTGTTTGAAACTGTTTCTTCAGCAGTCTCAGAATATTGCAAGGTTTGTTAGCTACTGCGTATCTATCCTCTAACAGATTTACTTGTGTAGCTAAAGGCTAAAAGAGTTTTGTGTTATAATGGAGTGAGACGTATATTTATAAAGGTGTTTCCGAGAGAACGCACAAAGGATGGGAAGGTGGGACAATTTTCTCAAAATACTTTGTGCAGATTCAGGTGGAGCTAAGGAAGTTATGGTGTTGTCTGTCGCCCTAAAGCACAATTTCTTCTAGTGCGACAGTGTCAAAGAATCCTTCCAACATGTTTGTTGCAGCTTACGCGAATTTAAAGCGACCAAACAGGGATGTCAGCGTCAATCATCTGCACGAACCGTTTAACATTTGTACGATATTCTTCTCCGCCCTTCTCCGAGACACAAAGTTACCTCACCTCTTTTACCTCGTCCCAGTGATCTATACATCACGAAATAGGGCTGGATCCTGTAACTTCACTACGTAACTTCCAGTCCTGCAAACTGGCACGAAATCTGAAAAGGATTGACAGGAATTTAAAATTTGCGATGATTGTAAATTAACCAACCCATACCTGTGTGTGCACATTCGCAGTAGCTACATAAGTGCACGCATAGTTATTTTAAAACGCTTTGCGAACAGAGCTGAGGAGACTTTTTGCTTTACACAACGAATGCGCTTGTTACATTTTGTGTGAAATTCATTCTCAATCAGCGGCTTGTAGCGTTCAGCAAAATGAGTAGATATAGAATTATTTGTGTTCCTGCGGTTGGAGTTGATAGAATACATATGATACAAAGTGTGGCAGTAAGTTATCACATTTGTGAAGGCTAACAAGTTGCTTTGTAGGAAGGTCTCTTGTTGCAGCTGGTTCTATTTTTCACGCGAAAATTAATCCTTGATTGAGCTAAGTCTATGTAGTTGTATATCGAGAAGCCATGGACCTTAAATACACACTTCTAAGCTGCATCTTTAATGAAACTATACTTTGTTAAACTTTGCGGGAAAAATAAGCTGCATGAAAATTGGTTGGCATATTTATTCGTTTAAAAATTATTCGCAAAGTTTGTCGAAACGAAAGTAGCTAACATGGCCCGTGCAGTGGAGTTTATATTGAATTGGCGTCACCAATGTAGGCAAACCAGCTGGGTGTGCTGGCGGGGCACGAAGCGGACCGAATACTTCATTGCTGAATGCATCACTGCTGACGAAATGCCAAAAATCTAATTCATTGCTGACGAAATGCCGAATACTTCATTGCTGAATACATCACTGCTGACGAAATGCCAAAAATCTAACACAGCATCTCTTCCAGTTTGTCTCTGAAATTTATACCGTACCATTTGCAGCCTGAATTTTAATTTTTACGCTTCTACCACGTGATTCAGTTTTTATTTCCCCACCAACTGTCACGTCTTTCCGGTTTTCAGCATCCGTCGTTTCTGTCACTTTGTTGTCAACCTCCGTTACTTCGACCTATTCATCATGATTGTGATCTGTGCAAGTTCAATCGCACTGGCTGCTGAAGACCCAGTCTGGGAGCATTCCAGTCGGAATGCAATTCTGGAGCATTTTGATTACGCCTTCACCGGTGTATTCACAATCGAGCTGGTACTGAAGGTATGCTGAAATTTGGGGCTTCATTATGCATGTATACGGAAAATGCCGCTGAAGCAGTCCGGGCATGAATAAAGAATGAATGATGTTTCGATGAAGTAATTAGTTGGAATAATATCAAGAAATCATGTCCCACCATCTACCTTCAGAAGGATAGGTAATGAAGATGCTTCAGATAGATTTCAAATCACGGAAAAACAAACTGCATTGAATAGACATGGGAGAAGCGTGAAGAGGAAGTTGCTAGTGTTTCCGGAATTAAGATATAACTACAGAATCTGGGGTTACATCCAAAACATTAAAACATTAAAAAACATTAAAACATTGAAAGATTGTCTAATTGTGTATTTATAGAAATAGGGTTGTAGGAAAACATGAAGAGAGGTTAAATATGAGGAAACGGAGGTCAAAATCCTTGTATACCCTCGTCCTAAGAGGGTAAAACGTTCTCAACTTAAAATATATACTTTTCTAAAATAACCTTTATCAGTAGCCTGCTCTCACAACCACTCTCCACAGAAGAACAAATGTTTTAAGTAGCTTCTGAATACCCTAAATGAATTCAACGTCTCAGCGAAATTGCTGTTTGGAATATACATGTCGTACATGTCCTAGGACTTCTCTTGGTAGCCTACGAAATCATCGTGAATGTGTACTCCTCTGTATTCAAGAGTTCACATAAAAATGGGGAACAGACTAAAACACATTTGCTAATTATAAAGTCCACACAGAATTTTAGTTCTAGGAATAACGGTCAGGTAGCGCTGGCTTCCTCAAACCTTTGCGTGGGTGTAGCCCGATCTAATAGAACATCTTGCTTCCGCATTTTAGCCATTTAAGCCAAACATTAAAAAAACTGACTGAAAAACAGAAAAGTTTCTGTAATCCATCTAAATAAGGCAGTTCACTGACTGACATCTTTTTGGGTGGGTTTATCTCCTCTAAAAATGCGCCCTACGTAAAATATGTTATATGGCTTAACAATGGCGTGTTCACCCTCAAAAGAGAGCACTCTCAGGTAAACCAACATTACCTGTCGGAAAATCTTTTACACTGTCTATTTGACGAGAACGGCTGTATAAACGTATGGAACAGTCAGGAATAGAATGTTTATCATTAATAGAGTTTTCCATATATTCCAGTCGTATAAATCCGTGGAACATGGTGGCCTCTCGATAGATCATGTCTTAACAGATTATCTGTTCACATACAAGTAAAAGGCGATACACCACCCTAAAGGAGGAGTATCAACGTAAACTCGGGTAAAATCAACTACCCCTCATCCAATAATAAAAACAAAGTAAAAACCCTCAGAATATATAGAAATAGTTCCAATCTTGCGTATGACCATTTGGCGGGCCGATGTCTTAAAAATCCCACTCTAGATGGCAGTATTACGTTACTTTTGGCGCTGTGGCGGAAGCTCCCAGTGTGAACACCTGTGATAATAGGCTTGGATTTTGCTCAGACTAGGAATTCATAATTAGTTCACTTTTAGTAAGGTAGCTTAGAACCCATAACAACATAAGCTTTAAAGTTTCCGTGTTATTTGGGTGGTAAGCGTGGAAGACTAACATGTCCCCAAGACTGCGTCTTACTGATGACAATCATCAGCATATGCATGCTCCATGCAATCAAGCCTTTAGGAGGTATGGGACCAACTGCTATAAGGTACCCTGAGATAGCCAGGGTTCGAGTCCACCAGCCGCCTTTTCCTTCAGTGGAAATCGCGTAAGCACATGGGTCCAGAATAATGTTTGGGTAAACAGACAAGTAGAATGAAAAACAGCCACAACCAGTGATGGGATGTCACCAGGTTTGGAGAGTGTACACGGCTTGCAGTAGCATCAGAAGCGTGTCTGCATCCTCTTCGTATGATCACTTTTCACATGACTACTGTGAGATCGACTGCAGGTCCAGAACAGCGAATTGTGGGCCACTCTCGTTCATTAGCTGGGATGCACATGGATTCAGTTGAGAATACTGGAAACCGCTTTTTCGTGCCACAGATTCAACACGGATGGATCGTGATGTTCTGTCGAATCAGCTGCGTCACACACTGACGCACGCCGAATTTTACGGACGTATCAGCCTGAACAGTCATCTGTGATCCAATTCGCCCGACCTTGAAATGACTCCTTGTATGTTAGATGTTGTACACTGCCAGGTTAAATCAGATTTGAAAAAAAACGAGCATATTGCTAGTAGCGGGCGAAAAACCACGCAATAACCATGATGAATACGTTGTGAACTATGCCCACAATGCCATGAGGTCAATAGAGAAGTTGAAGGCGTCTACAGGATTTTTTAAGCATAGCATATTGTTTGAATTCATCCTGGCATCCCAAGCATAAGGAGATACAGAATTTTCCATTGGTGGTTTAGTGGAGTTCTCTTTTATCGGATGAGTTTTGAAGGCAAAGTATTATTGTTCAAGAACTGACCTTCAGGCACTCGTATGGGGGAGAATTGCAATTTCAGGTTGTTCTGTTTCAGCGGAAAGCTCAATTAAGCAAGAACCTCGGAGATTCCAGGTTTTAGTGGAAGTCCTGTATAAGATTCCCGTTTAATGGGAAAACTCTAGCAGTTCAAAGAGTTCGTAGCGCCCGCCGTCTATATCAACCTTGTTTAACAGTGCCCAGGCGTAACACACTATCACAACGCAGTAGCCATAAAAAAGAATCGCATCCCCGATCTAGTGGTTGGTACTTTCATTCCTAACCAAGACTTGGTTTGGCTGCTCCATTACAGAGGCACCATGGTCAGCTAATCCAAGCCCATGGAGGTACGCAAAACGATTGTCATTGGGCAACTAAGTGCAAATCACATAACTTTCTCAAGATAGCGGGGTTGAACGTTTGGCTTCTCTTTTGGAAATACACATAGTGTATAGGAAATCGATCGCCCCAAAATGTTTGTTTGTGGGGTGGAAACTTGCAAACGGCGCTAATAATTTTTGCTTTCCTATGGAATGTTTCAAGCGGTCTTTGGACCAAACACGGTGTAAACACAATGTAAATACAGCACAACTAAGGTCGAGCATCTTAACGGGCATTACACATTGCTCAACACTTGAGTGTTATTGCATACAGTTGCATCGAGAATGCAAAACCTGCTGTTATTCCAGTTATTTTCAGAGAATCCATAAAATTGTTATTGATTTGATAGATAGCCAATGCCTTCTTACTTGCTCAAATCAGGTAAAATGCTTTTCAAGACAAATTATGTCACGACCAATTAAGGAATGAAGTTCAAACATACACAGGCTCCCGTATCTTTGTTCGGATTTTCAGTAGGGACTGCAGAGCTTTGGTCATTTATGTGACCGCTAAAGCGACGTTGTTAATAAGCTCGTCAGACTGGTACACTGTAAATCTTAGAAGCCGGATGCAGAGCTTAGGATTGGAAACCAGACGTTTGTTCAACTCGTCGGTTCTATGAAATTTCAGCACAAGCAATTTACGGACCAGGTAAATTCCAGTTAGTCATCTGAACTCAGCTAGAAAATCCCAAAACAAGGGGGAAAATAATAAACCATAATTGTACTCTTCTCCACCTGTCGAATGGACATACCCACCAACCTTGTGATCAAATCGATACGGTAACCAACCACTTGACTGCCCGATTGGAAAAGTGCATCAAACGTATGTACCAGTTTTCCTTGCAGAATGCCATGACTATATGACTGCATGGCTCTTTCAGATTTAGAGCGTTAAGTTGTGTGGGTAAGCTTTAGCTGGGACAGTATTACTAAGAATTTTGTCTTCAACCACTACTCATGGGTAAAATTAATATTTTTGTACGTCAAACAGTGACTGTCTTACAGAACTCCATTCTTGATAAATGGATAGACATCTTTAATCTTCTCGGAAATAAAACAGGAAGCCAGAGATTATCGTAAACGTCTTATGAATGCAGATATGTTTTGTGCAAACCAAGAAATTGACGCAAGACGTAGAAACAGACACTTTTTCGGGGCACGCATCACGGAGCGAGTTCATGCGGATGCATATCAGACACAACTGTAATTCGGGCCGTCACAATGTTGCATCATGAAATAGTGCCGGAATACTGCTGACGTGAAATGGTAATTACACTTTGTTGGCTGTTTTCCGGACAATTGGAGGCAGATGGCCAGGCGCAATGGGTCTCAGTGGATGTAAATGAAATATAGCGTGACACACCAGGAATCAAATTCGATTTAATCATCTATTGACTTTTTCAGGGTCTTAGATGTATACCTGGAGTGGAATCATCCAAAAGCTCCGTGGCTCCAAGAATTATTTTTCAGGTAGTTTATCTGGATTTCCAGTGAAATGTGAAAAAGCATAAGCTGTTGTTTTTCCGGTGTCTTCGAAGCACAAATAAATTATCCGCTTCAATTTATGTTAACCTGAGTTTTGTACGAATTTCCTCGAATAACTTGTCATACTTAACCTCTTCAGTGTTTCAACATTTATGCTGCCCAAATAACATTACTAATATGCACTGCTCATAAGGTCGCTGAAATTTGTCGACAGCCCACGACCGGTTTCGCCCTCCTTGGGGCTCTTCAGGTAGACGCAGTCCCCGAATTTCCGCTAACCTTATGCTTTGTTTGAAACCAAATTGCACGAATTTAGCGAAATCCACTCATTTGCAAACAAATTTGATTTTGCGGGAGACTTATCTAAAACTCAAAAGCATCACAATCGAGAGATTCCGCTGGGTTTTAAGTAAGTCACTCGCAAAACCAGATTTGTTTGCCAATGAATGTATTTCGTTAATTGATAATATGCATAATCCTCCGCATCGCCCCCAAATCAAATGGTCAGGTAGAGCTTATTCAAACGCGTGTTGGCGAAGTCACAGAGGAGAAGAATACATAACCTCAGCACTAGTGAACATTTTCTGGAAAACAACCTGACAGAAGCACATTTTTGGTCTCATGCCACAACAGCGCATAGACATCGTGCCTATTACGAACAGATGTATGCGTTTTTACTCTCTCAGATTGAAAGCACCGCGAAGGAAATTTACCTCAGTGAATGTCTAGATAATAGGGTCACACACAATTTGGCCACGCCATGACAGAATGTTATATCCTTTAAATGTTCGGTCATACATGCGACAGATATGTAAAATGGATGCGTCCATAATCCTCACATGCTTTGTGAGATAAGTGTATGCCGTCCAGAAGTGCTTCATTGGATATGCTACTCGATGTTTCTGAGTTGCCAAATTAATCATACCTAAGTACACCCCCACAAAAGCAAAAACCGAAATTCGTATTCGTACCACGCCCCAAACGGACAATAAGTCGTGTGCGGCCTTTACAATTTGATTCTCTATTACATTCCTACCATCGGCACTCAAAGAGGGACATGCTAACTCGCGCACCCTGCTTTAACCAAACCTGCATCACGCGTCGTGCACGTGATTTGACGGACTACAATCGTCTGCTGAACTGGCAGTGTCTAGTGGCCACATTGTAACCTGTTTTAATCCAACCCAGTTTGTTTCACTCCTTAAAGCTGTGCAATGCATATCTCATACACAGCGCTCTTCGCATTATCTCAGGCTTAGTGAGCTGGTCCAAGATGGCACAGTATACCCGACTACGTGTGTACGTTGATGGACATTATACCGTCCAATGGGCGAGTAACGCGTTCACATCAATCTAATTTCAAAATTCCCTGTCTCGACTTGGCGCAGTTATTTTTAAAACTCCAAACCAGGAAAGCGAAGTACCGGATTTGAGTTTTAGTCTCATTAAAGCTCTTCAGCATAACATGTCCTTGGTCGTACGGGCGTTTGAACTGCCTGTGACTGGCATGCCAGGCAAGCGTGTTAAAAAACCCCATCCTCCTCCGGCGCGACCAGGGATGTTCACTGATGGTGAGTTCTAGGAGAACCTAAAACCGAGTCTCGTGCTTACCCATTTATTATAGATACAATGAAATAACTTTTGCCATTTAGGAATGGGACTGTTCAAACCAGAGTAATCTGAGGTTGAATTCCAGAAATCCCGCAACCACCCACAGCTGAAGAATTATTGATCATTCCCAGGAAACGGTTCCTTCAGGTCTACTATGAATCATGTCTACCATAGAAATCTAGAAAGGTTAATGGGAAAAGTTGATGCTCAGATACTGAAATGGACCTCTTTGAGGGTATATGGAATTGTAAAGGGAACAATCATGTTTGATTTTTCTTCTTTATTTACTCACTTTTAAAATAATTCTCACTGTTTTAAAGTTTTTTGACTCCGATTCATTGCAGGTGATTGATTTGGGCGTAGTTCTACATCCTGGTTCATATTTCCGTGATGCGTGGAACATACTGGATGCCATTGTTGTATTTTTTGCATTGGTCGCATTCGTCGTCCGGTAAGTCAGCGGGACATACCGCCAAAATCAGACAGATTTGTCGATTTTAATTACTATTACTACCGTAGGGTATATGGCTGCGCCAGTTCAACTGGCCAGCTGAAGGAAATAATCTCAAGTGAAAAACTCTTGGAGACGATTGGATAGTCATCGTCTTCAGAAGCGTTTGGTAACAATCGGTAGATTTACTGCTTGTCAACGTTTTGTTTTTGACACAAAGCTTCGTCAGGTCAAGTGACTAGGCTACGAGTTTAGACGAGATTTAAGGCGGAAGGAGAACCACTCAGCTAAGTCAAGCTAACTCTCTGTTAGGTGTCGCCAAAGGGGCCGTGTAATATATACGAGGAGTAGGAAAATAAAAGCTACGATCTATCAAGAGCCAACAGACACAGCAAGCGTCTTAAATTATTCATCGTCGCATGCAATTATTCTCATCGATAGTCGGTCGAACCAGAGCGGTGTGCACAAAAGAGATGGACCGAACGGTAGTCCCATTTGAGAATGCCAACAGACTTCAAGAAATAGGTTACCCAGTGAGTTTGATCAGGTATCAACTAAGGATAATGGCTGCGGTATTTAGACTCAGTAAGGAATGGACTGACACTGCAGTCATTCCATATAGAACAGGAACCTCGGAGGATATTCAAAGGCTGTTGAACTTAGCCAACATTCGAGTAGCTTTCCAGGAGGGAAAAAAGCTACGCTGATGTTTTGGTGAAATTGAAATATCCCCTCCCGGTTGGAAGGACTATAGTATAAAATTGACTACAACGATTGCACTAACGTATAAACACGACAAACTGCCAGGTAATTGCACACCGGATTTGGTGAACATGATGGGAGTGTATGCGAAAGAATATCAAACACTGGTAGAAGTCTCAGCGATGGCGGTACATGACTTAAACACAGGACAGAGTAAATCTGGAGAAGGTGGAAGTTTTAAGAAGGGGTTTGCGATTCACACCACATGCGTTGATAGCTGAGGCAGTGGAAATTGTCAAGCATCACAGCGTGAATAAAATCGAGGGTGTGGAACTGGCCAGCTTATGGAAAGTTGTCCTAGATAAACCGAGTTGACAGGTGACTGTGTGTGAATGTCAGTTCAAGTTGAATCATGAGAACGAAGAAGTCAATGGGTCGTCAATGTCAGACAGACTTGTGGGACCAGATGTTTTGTAGGCCAGTTCAAGTTCAGAGGTCGCACAAGTTTCTTTTGGATTGGATGTTGTGGATCCAGCAATCGGATTCCTATCGCTTCTGCGATCGATAGTAGTTTGGATCGTACCAGTCGTGGTCCGTTCAGAGGTACCCGGTATATGATGGTGAAGGCTTGCTCCTTGTCTATGATATGACAGGTTTCG